TGACAATTTTAATCTTCAAGGTTGATAAGTAGAAACAGAAGTTATTAGGAAAAAAGCACTTTTTCGAAGTTGGTAAATAAGAGGTACACGTGTAGTTTGGTTGTGTAATAGTGGTAGTGATGGAATTTAAGGTTGCCAAGAGGATTTTCCGGGATTTTTAAGGCTATAGATGATGATGTCATATTACATGAGCAAGAAAAAGATAGTAGTAGCTGTGAAAAGTGAAGAAAATGGGTGAAATTCGTGGAAAATGGAGGTTTTCAGCTAATTACATATGTCAAATGACGTCAGAATAGGTTGGTAGATGGCTCATTCAACGCAGAAGAGTGGATTACATAATGTACAAACTTTAAATCATTAGTAACGGAGGTGTGTGTAAAAATTTATAAGGCAAATAAAGAATTGGTGTGAATCTCAAATTTACAGTCACAAGTCATATGTAACACTAAAAACCTTAACTTCACAACTCAATATCTTACTCATCACTCATCAGAAGTAGGTCATGTAGGTGTCAGAAATGATCAGTAACACGTGGGCTACAAGATGCACTTTAGTAATCAAAAATTGGAGCACATCTGAAAAAATTCGTAATCTCAAAAATTGGTTTTCAGCTAGTTTACAAGGAAAAAATCACCTGTATTCATCATAAGAAGTGCTGTACATCATATTATTGCGTCATTGATCACTTTTAGCTGTGAAAATTACATCATTTATTAGTAACAAAACCATTACATTGCGTCATCATAGGGTTTTTAGGGAATTTTGGGCGGATTCGATTGGTTTTGAGGCTGTTGACCATTGTAAAAGTTCTAGTACATTGTTATATATACTTTGAGAGGGTTTTGGGACTGTTGTTCCCCTTTTTTTTCTTTATCATTTACACCATTATTATTTTGTTTATCATCATAAACTTATTTTAATAGTACCTGTTCACTTAAATACGCCCTTTATTACAGTTATAAAGAGAAATTTACTTTAGTTTTATAGTCATAAAGACTTATTGGGAATAATATCAATCAGATATTGCTTATTTTTTTTCAGTTATCAATTGGGAATAACACTATAGCAGTGTTGATAGTAATACAAAGTGTGCTTTTGAAGTTAAAATTACGTGTGAAGTTATATTTCTCTGGTGCCTTATCAGTACTCAATACAACAGAGCTCTTTCTGATTGTGTTGTTTTAGAAGAGCAGTCCTTAGACAACTTCTACTAGTCATTTTATTAGTAGATTATCCTCTTCCAGCTCTGTATAACCCTTGTTGGGTTATAAGTTCTACAACGTGTATACCGGGAGAAACCTACCCTCAATACCCGGCTATGTTCTCCTCTGCCCATAGTCCAACCCCGCCTCACATCGTGGAAACAGACGGTACCGTCGTGCCTTTGGGTACCGTCAACCATCCACTCATTTACTCAACGGAGTCTTATGAGTTGTGCAGTCTAAAAGTAATCTAACTTTTAGATGTTATCAATTTCTTTTCTCATGCATGTCACGATAAATGTATCCTACTATCTGTATCATACATAGTCTACAAGTCTTAGGTATCATCCTATTCAAACCTAAAGTCTTCGTTCATGAATCCTCTAGGCTTCTTGGGGGGGGGCCCCCGCCTAGAATAGGCAGGGGGAGGTAGGACCACCTAGAACCGTAGATGAGAGAGCGCTTCCCCGTGACTCAGGGCGGCGTCCTGAGCCTGCGAACTCCCATCTACGGTGGCCTGGGTCACACGAGACTCCCCCTAATCACCACAATGGGGCTTCCTATTCTACATGACCATGCACCAGATCGGGGACAAATCTCTTGACGAAGTTTGCCAATCATCACGAAAGCTTGATTTCATTCAATAGTTTTACCGTACTTGACAGCTCTGTACTACTATATTCCCTAATATAAAGTTTGTACGCCTTAGATTTCCACCTCCCCAATGTTACAATATCCTCTAATGGGACTTTTAAATTCCAACGTAAGGAGGCTCCTCCCACTCTGAAGGAGTGCCCCGTTAATTTCGTCCTCATACGCTTTGACCAAACGTCCTCAAATATCCGTTGGCACCGCGCCTTTGTTAAGGTTATCCTTCGTTCGCCGTTTGGGTATGAGAAAACTGGATCGTCGTCGGTCGCCCTTGTTTCTTCTAATAACCTCTTCAACGCACTCACTGGGTCTAATAGGGAATTCTGGCATTGACAATGAATCCTTTGTATCTCTCCGACAGCTGCCGTCTTTGCGCCTTGAATCCTAATCTTGACGAAGTCCAATTTCTCGCTCCAAACAATATCTTTAACCTTCACTTGGTCCATGGTCACCGAGGTCTTCAGCAACTCCCCCAAACGCGCCATTCCCCAGAAGGCCACCAATGCTACAGTGTAAGCAACTTGATGTTCCAATTTACCGTCTGATAACGTTTCTACAAGCCCAAACAAATGACTGATCAATACCGGATTCTTCTTCTCTTTCGGTTGTTCCCTAAGCTCCAACTTCGCAGCCGCTTTCAAGATTGCTTCTACTCTGGGGGTCGTCTGGTGAGGGTAATCGAAGTTATGAAAGAGGTGCCAGGCCTTTATTCCTGACAAGTAAGTCCGAATCGTGCTTGATTTGATCGGCTGTCTACCAGAGTCTGACGGTCCTTGAATTAAACTCGGGCCTGCCCACACCACGAATTCGCATAACACCTTTGGGTCGATTGGTAATAGTGACGATCGACTTATTCCCTTCTCTTCCGCGAATAACAACAACTTTGCTACCCCCGCGTTGTAGTGTTTGATTGTTGGTTCCAACCAGCTTCCACTCAGCATGTAAGTCTTCACCACATCTTCTGAGGTATCGTCGACATTGTATAAACCTTTCCTAAACTCTATATTATGATCTAGTTTACGGTCTCAGGCAGATTCTAAAGAGGGGAAAGTAAGGTCGGAGTCTCTTTCTTCTGAGGTGGGCGTTTTATTCTAAAACGCCACTCCCGACCTCAACTCATGTCTTGGACTTAAATTTACCACCCGTCGACCTTCCGGCAACCGGCTAGTCTCCTCACCAAACAATGGAAAGGTCTGCTAGCAACTGTAGCAAACGAGGAGACCGAAAGAAGGAAATGCATTTCAAGAACACTGTTTTACTACTAAACACAAGTCGTCTGGAACCTCGATCACAACGCGATCATCCTCACTACGACTATCCTTACCTCTAGACAACAGGTCTGCCATGTTTTCCCCTGTTTCAACTCGTTCCGCCACCAAGTCACAATGAAGGTCTGCTAACAACCTTTGAATCACTTTCCATTCTTTGTTCACGGCCATGTCACCAGACTTATGTTTCTCAACTGCCGCTTGTGAGGTAGTATTATCGGTAAGCACAATGAACGTTTTACCTCCTACATCCATGATCTTACTGAGTACTAAAAGCCCTAAACGTATAGCCACAGTTTCCGCCCAAGCGATATTCCGCTTACCTCTCGGCGTAGTGATCAGATTCCATCCCTTCACCAAACGAAACTCTGCCCACTTGGTGCCGATTAATACCCCGATCCCAGACATTGAGGCGTCCCCTACCCACTGGACGTCTACTGGGACACTGTCCGGTATGATCCTCCTTGGTGTAAACGCTTTCAGTGTGGCCTGCCATTCTAACAAATCTTCTCTCACATCTCCAGGTATCTTCCTCTTTGCCGACGGATTCTTCCACTCGGCCTCCCACCTGTGCAAACTAGGCATGTAGCACTTAAGATTTGGAACTATATATGTTGTATGTACTAACCGTCCGATGAACTTCTCAACTTGCTTCAAATTAAAGGACGCTCCAGGAACCAGAAAGTCGTCTACTTGCTGACTTCGTTGTTTAAACTTTTCTTCTGGCAACCTCACAGTCCTTTCAGCTACGTTCCAAATAAACCCTATATACCTCTGTTCATCTGCGAACTCGTGAACCTTGTCGTCATTAGAGGCCACACCCATTTCTGCACTAAGCCGTACAATATCCTGAATCATTGTTTTGTTAGTTTCTTCCTTGATGAGTAAATTATCATCTACCCATCGAAATGCAGCTACTAATTTGAAATGTTTCTTTATGATTTTCCTCCACAGGTTGGCCGGTCTTCCAAACACACCACACCCAGCAACCCCTCCAAACTGGATTCGGGTGTCTAGCCATAACCTGTTGTTGAGGTCCATAAGGAGGAGAAACCTCCACTGCAATGGGTGGATTGGGATCTGCCGATAGGCTTTCTCCCAATCGAAGATTGCCACCTTATACTTCCCTGAGTGAGTTCTGAAGAATATCGCGATGACTTTGAAGTCGTCCCAACTTGTCTCGAAGTCTTTCTTATTGACAAAACTATTTACTGACGGTGTTTCTTCGTCATCTTGTGGGAATGAGAGATCGTTGATAATCCGAAACGACCCGTCTCCATTGATTACACTGCCCATCGGGCTAGATCTAAAGAAACCAATTTTATTGAAGACCTCCATGTGAGTAAACGGTCCAAAAACCCTGTTTGCCCTTCTTTCCTTCGCTATCGTGTTGGTGATTTTCTCTGCTGCCTGAATAGCTGATTCGTGATTGCTCGGTGTATACCACTTCCTGTTACCCAGCGTATGATCCGGAATCCCCTGATGGAATCCGTGTTCACAACCTTCCAACACCTCAATTGCGTCATCTCCTATCTCGTGCCATTCCACCAGCTCTCTCCACTTATGTAAGTTTAAGTCACAGAACGCAGTTTCTCTAGGCCAACGGGAGTCGTACCTTCTTCCAGAATTGCAGTAAGGTAGCAACTTCACCTCTCTTGACTCATCAGACGTCTCATCAACGACTAGTCTAGGAGTGGCACCTCTCATCCTCTTACTACGGTCCATCGCGCTAAACAAGGTACGGAGGAGGTACGGGACGTCAGTAAATTTGACCTTGAACCAACTGATTTGATATCATTTCTCAATACATCAGACGCGAAATCCAGGACAAGAAACTACATGACAATCGTGAAGGATATCAGGTAGACACGGACATGGTCTATACCACCGTACTGGGAGCAGAAGGGTTCTCGGTCATACAAATCAAGAAATTCTATCAAGCGGACAACACACGCTCCATCGGCGGATAACACAGGCCGGGACATTTTCTGTTCACGTCCTTCTTACAGTCCCCTAAAGACAAGGTTGAGCATGAAGACTAATTTCCAAGAAGGCTTACTTTGCCTTTCCTCGGCCTCCATATCTAGGACCATTCGGTTCACAATCATCGTTTCTCCTATCTTCACGACGATCATCTCTCTTCCAGGATCCACTAGCTTCAGCTCTCCGGTCCTCATAACCGTCACCACCTCGGCGTCCTCTAGGATAATCTTCACGATTCCCACCCCCGTTACTAGGCCAACCATTTCCTCTACCACGGCCTCTGTTGCCTCGGCTGCCGTATCTATCATCTGATCCATTATGATAATTGACGCTACCCGGACCATCATAAGACACCTGATTGGCGAAGGCCCACGACCTCGCATTCGGTTTACTCGCATGGTTGACACCGAAGTTTTCGTTGAGATTAGACTGAAAGGAGTTTTGGTTTGCTCGTAATGGTTCACCACTGATTGGATTAATGAATGCCTTACATTGACCATCAGCGTACGGGTTGATGTCTGCAAATCTAGGATGGAAGTTGCCTAATCGCTCCGAGTCCAATCTTGCGTCTCTCTCTATTGATTCGTTTCGCTCCGCGGGGTTAGCAAGCTTCCCGTCAGCATTGCGAATGGTGAGTACAGTTGTGCGAATTGCCATGTCATATCGAAAGGCCATCGGCCAGCACAGTCTCTCCCATTTGATAGCAAAGACATTCTCCTTATGAATCTTGAACTTGTCCGCTAGGTCATCGTGCTTGTAGTAATAGAGGTAGGCGACAAAGAGATCAAACGCTGTCACCCATTCACCAAAGCTCATTTTCCATTCGATTGGTACGCCTAGACCATAGTACTTGTCTTTCTTATCGTCTGGGCCTTTCGGCCTACTGGAAATCTTGATCAAGTCTTGCTTCAGCCAGTTAACATTCATTATAGAGAGTGGTATGTATCCGTCTAATGGTTTAATTTTGTCGGCCCAGTGCTTCAAGAGAGCTACTAAACCCGTGTTTTCGATTCCTTTTTCTCCGACCTCAGGTTTAGTTGTCGCTACGGTCTTAGAGGAATCCGATTCTGTCGTTGATGCCGGTGCCACCTTGTCAATCCCATCAGTTCCGTCTAGACAAATCACGGTTCGAGGAACGGTCTCGGTAGGCTTCTCGGTGGGTTGATTAGGTCTCGTTGTCAGAGTCTGTTGCCTGGCGGTAACAGACCTCGGTATATATCCTAACGTAGCGGTGGCACCCTGCGCGACAGTTGTGGTTGTGTCTGGGTTAGAAACGACTGCCAGCCCGTTGGCTAATAACCACGAATGAAACCCCCTCGGTGGACTGACACCGACAGCGGTGGTGTTCTCACGTCTCGGAGACGTTTGACCTGATGACAAGGAACAAAAGTGACCAACTGGATTTAGTATGGGTTCGTTTGATATTGGTCTCACTCATCTGAGGCTTCACTCTCGGTGGCATCACGTATCTGAGCGTGGAGGAATACATCGCAATCGCGGCAACACCAACAGTGGGTAATATGGATTTCGAGACCCACCAATTGTAGCATTGCTAACATTATCTTTTGAAATTAGGCCTCCTAGGCCAGATGGGCCATTTCCCGAAGGGTGGATGACCGTGGTTCCAGTGGTTCCTTGGGCGGGTGCACCGTTAGGAGTAAGTGAGTTTGTAGCATTCGGACCTCCCTTGTTATTAGGTGCTGACAGTGAAGATGGTCTGGAAGTATTCGTATTGTCTCCCGTCTCTGGGGCCGTTAGAGTCACTGCCGGGGTGCCTTCTCCCACTGGACCAGTTCCATTTCCGGGCCTGGTGGAGCCTCTCGCGTTCCGACGTCCTCTTCCTCGACCCCTACCTCTCTGGCTACCTGTTGTACTAGAGGGGTTTGATTGGTCTGTCTCGATTGGGGGGTTGATTGTTTGTTCCGAATCCAGTGGGGGGACTGAGCCTCCCCTTAATCTATCACTCGATCTCCGCATCATTGCGTTAAATTTTTCTGTGTTGGTTGTTGTGTTATCGTTTTCAGTTGACATGGCGAGTTTTAATGGATTGTAAAGAAAAAATTTTTAATTCGAAAAAGGAAAGATTAAGCAAAAAGGCTTAACCGTGAGATAAGAGTGAGAAGATTTTCTGGATGTTGGCGTGGGAATTTTGGCTATGGTAAATTAACACGTGAAGGAAAATTTTGTGTAGGAAATTTTTCTTTGCCTTGCAAAAACTTCACGTGTATACCGGGAGAAACCTACCCTCAATACCCGGCTATGTTCTCCTCTGCCCATAGTCCGACCCCGCCTCACATCGTGGAAACAGACGGTACCGTCGTGCCTTTGGGTACCGTCAACCATGAAATCCCAGGATGTTGTGCTGACAAAGCCTTGTCAACCCAATCAGGCTTTGCTGAATAGAACTCATTGCTTCAAAAGGTTAATGAGAATGCAGCTCACATCTGTAATTTCCTGCATAAATTTCATTGTGAACTCAATCCTATTGAACTTCTTTGGTGTTACATCAAAACAGCTAAATTCCATATCTTTATTATCTCTTTTTCTGATTTTGGCTAAGGAAAATGAAATTTAGGCTACCAGGCTCATAGCTTTGAATTTACGTAAAAGTCTTCCAGGCACAAAGGACTTGTTTGAAAGGATCAGGAAAACCTGACCTCTTGAAACCATTTGACATTTTTCTTGTAAGGCTGATAGGAATGAAATTATTTTGCTGATGACGATTTTTTAAGATTGACAGAGAAGTCATGAAAGCCCAACCTGGTCCTAATCCAAAGTCACAGTTTTACACGTCTCACCAATCAGAAGTTGCGCGCGAATCGGCAACCAACGCAAATTTTAATAACCCACTTTTTTTAACCTTGTTGTTTGGTATCTTCATTATATTTTGATGTTTTTTTGTTCATCTTTGCTTTGAACACCCGGTATATCAACAACAAGCAAAGACACCATAAATGGATGGATTGCCATCGATCCCAGGATTTGAACAATATCCTCGGCACCCAAATTGGATGGGTTTCTCTTTTGGCTCGTTATCGATTTGTTAGAAAAATACCCGTCGGCTCGACATTTGACGCGTCTCGGCACTAGCGACGTCATATTTCTTTTCTTTTAATGTAGCCATTATCTTTCTGATTTTCTGCTGGTTGTATCAGTTCATACAAGTAATGAGTGTATACCATTTCTCGTGCTTGATCAAGGACCCTCTGAAAAACAAATCAAACCATCCTCTATCGACGGTCTGCAGGCTGTTGATGACGGCCCTATAAGATCAACATGCAGAATGTATGCACATACCTTCCGCAATTCGTCAACGCCTTGCCTGACGTAAGACCGTCGGTGCACTGAACTACACTGCGGTTCAAAAGATTCGTAATCTTTATGTGATTTCACCATCCTGTTCCAATGATGTTGTTTTCATATGTTGATGACATGCCCAGTAAAAACATGATGTAAACATATGTGGTTGCGTTGCGAACTTGTTATTCTGATCTTTGTTCAACACTCATCCTACATAATCGTGATGTAATCAGCAGGCATGCTGAAGGTATCAACAATAAAAGTCACACATACTTACGACATATCGCTGATATAATCTTCTTGGTTACATATATGAAATGCAATACACACATCGTCCAAACATGGATTCTGGAACATGAATCCAACCCAGATCTTGATCGGTTTGATTTTGATTCAATTTTAATTGTCATTTTATTGCATCGGTATTGGTATCTCGATTTTGATTTCTGATTTCCTCTGTTGGCATCATTTGGTTTCCTTTTGGTCACAATACTTTGCTTACTGGGGCAACACAGTGACATGAGACGCTGGATACGTTCCGGATGTACCGTACAAATAAGAAAAACAACAATGTTTGTTCAACAAAAAGACTTTTAATGTAAAGAAGTAATTGTAGGTAGCCATAGAAGAAAATCCCAATGATATATAACAAAAGAAAAGGAAATGATGAGCCAATCCCCATTCAGTCAATATCTATCAGTACGGTACATCTTCTTGCCACTAGTTTTTGCCAGGGAGAAATATATTATTGTTTGGGGGTTGGACTTTGAGAAACTTGAGGATGAACTGAGAGGCCGATTGAGAGCAACAAAATTCGATGCAAAGGATATCCAGTCAATCCTTTGGGTTCCATACAAGGACATCCAATGAGCAGAAAAAATCACCATGGACTAGTGATGACCAGGAGAGATCAAAATGGGTCAGCAACTCTAGAATAACGGCTGGACAGACAGATACAAAGCGAGATGAAGGCATAAAGCAGCTATACTTCACTTACCAAGAATATCATATCACGATCGGTATGCAAGGTCGACAGATGTTCATCGGACCGACAATCTTCGCGGCGGTGAAATTGAGTTACCTGAAGTCACGCAAAAGCAGAAACACTCAGTTCATCTAGTACATGTTGCACAGAAAGATGTGTCGTACTATACCCACCAAGCCTTTCAAGTTGGGAACTGATTGGTCTTTGGTTGTATGGCCTAACTCAGGTCCGTATCAATAAGAAGAGTGATATATGAGGTCGCGCAAAGGTGGAAGGCGGGGGTCATTGATCAAAACCGAATCAAATCCAAGCAGCCACCGAGACTGATGAACGAAATTGGATAAGAAGGGAAACGAGGGAATGGATATGATAGTAGTATAGAGAAAAGAAAGTAAAACAAAGAAGAGATAATAAAAAAACAAGTCAAAGAGCGGAACAATGTGAAAAGTGATCTGAGACTTGTTGTCAAAAGGGAAATGACTTGATTTGAGTGAAGGTTTTCATGACTTGGTTTTCCAAAAGTCGAACCTCGGGTCTCGTGGGCTTGCTTGCGACAGAGCTTTGGTATCAGAAGCTCATGAACAATCTACATCACTGAGCGGTCCAAGATGAAAATTATATGTGAAGTACCTGGTGAAATCATAATGGGCACATTCAGTTTATGTTGTGGTCAATTTATGTTCTGATGAGGTATCAAGATACCTCGAGAATTTGTGTTTTCAAATTATGACCCAAGTACATCAGCTCTACATATATTTTACAAAAATTCAAAATCCACATCACAATTACAAAACAGATTTGTCACTGGTAGGTAAAGTCCCATGTTTCTCAAATGTGATTACTGGGGGTGTTTTGAACACATATTTGCCCTTAAAGTTTGCACCGTAGTGTAAAGTTTTGACCCTCGAAGCCAATCACAGAATTACACAAACTTAAGCTTAAAGCTGAGCCCCTGTTGGCTGTTTCCGAGCGAGAAGGAAGCCCCTGTTCCGATTTCCGAACGTCAAAACCAACCAGAATCCGAATTTAAATTCACACTCCAAAGCAAGATCACAAGAGCTTCAAGAGCCAGTAGGAATCGATTCGATAGAATTTACACATCAAAAGCTCAATTCTCATCGAACCACAGACAATCTAAGTTCTGAAGTGGATCTACTCAAGTTTCAAAAGATGACTCATCCAACTCAATCAATCTATCCAAACAATCATCCAGCTTTCCAATCTTCCAAACCAATGATATCTAAACGTAATCTAATGAAACCCATGATGACTAAATCTTACTCAGAACCTATCATCACTCAATCAACCAGCAAGATCCAATCCGATCCAAACACTAACAACCTTTCACAACCCAACACTAACCCTACAGCTAATCGAAATGGTAAACGAGATCGATCTGCATTAAACTTTGCTAGTTCATCTCGTCAATTACCATCTCATCATCCTAGTTTCATTCATCCATTTCTACAATCTCCATCTTCTCTTTCTTATTCTACAAACTGTTTCACTTTCTCAGTAAACCCTCAACCAGTTCTTACTACTCCTAATCCTACTCCTTCTCCATCATCATCATCATCTCATCCTCAATCTTTGATGGTCATGACCAGACCATCTGATCCTAAACATCCAATCATCAAATCAAACAAACTTACAGACAATCTCAAGAGTCCTTCTACGCCTAGTGGGTTTTGGTCAGATATTAAAAAAACTATAGAACAGTATGACCCAAGTGAATTGGATGAGATTGAAACTGATGAACTTCAAGAAAGACAATCGAAGAGAAGAAAGAGTGTGGCTTGTACGATATTAGATTCAGCACTTGAAGTCGCTCTTTTTACTTCTGCAATCGGTTGTAAGTTTTTAACTTTTTTTCCCTTTTTGATGAATCTAAATCGAAAACTAATTTTAAATGAAACCTTCTTGTTTTTGATGATGATTAATAGATGTAGCATTTCAACTTTGGAAAGGAAATCGATTGAATGAATCGCCTTCTCAAACTCGATTACCTAGAACACCAGTCTTACCGACCTCCCCACCACCTCCCTACGAACAATACACAAGCCTACCGATCCCAGCCGAAAGTTCAACCCCGGTCCGACCACGCTTAATGTCCAAACGATCCTCTCAACGAAAAGTGACTCATATCCATACTCCAAGAACCCCAAGAAACCCAAGATCTTATCAATCTACCCTTCCAACCAAACCTATTCCCACTCAATCCATCGAATCGATCACCGAAAGCTTTCATCAACAATTAAAATTAAACGAAGAAGAAGATCTCATGGGAGAGTTTATACCTTCGATGAAAAACTATATCCTTCCACCTACACCTTTGATGGAAGAACCGATTGGGATCATTGACACCAATGAAGAAGATGATTTAGAGATCTTAGCCTTTAAAGATAAAATCCAATCTTTAATTAAATCGGGTCATGCAGCCTTGGCTTCGAAACCGAGTTTGTCAGATGAATCTGGCTCAATCACTCATCAAACTTTAAATCAATTCGATCATCAGTTTCATCAATTTAATCTAGATCACACTCAACCTTTACACAAGAAACCAAACGAAATCATCGTACTGGAAAACGCTCTAGATCAAACTCTCAAACGAACCGGTAAAAGTTGGTGGGAAACTTGATATTCAGATTCTCTTTATTCCTTATGAACAATGAACAATGTCTCTCCTTCTCTCTTTCTTCTTTCTCTCTCATCACCCCCTTTGGTTAAATTATTTACACTTACTTTGGGGTTTTGGAGTTGACTTGATACCTATTATCAAGGTTGTTTCTCACTTTACCAATTCTTATATACCTTTCTATTGGTTTTCTTGTTGAAATGTTTTTGGGGCTCATCAATCTTTTTCACTCATTTGTTTTTCTCATCTTATTGATTCTTTATGATGTATGTGGAGGGGTGTAATTTTTGATGATTAAATGTTTGAGATCGATGTATGCTTTGATGATTTGTTTTCAATTTTATCTTTATATATATATATATCTTATTGATAATGAATTCTTTTAGTTTGATTTCTTTTCATGACTTCTTGTAATCATTTGTTTGTTTCGCATCTTATCTCGATTATATGATGAATTCTTTTTTGCTTGTAATGAAGATTGGCTTGTTACGATGATTTTGTTTTACTTCATTTGGATCAATTACATTCTTTTTTTGGTTTGATTCTACTTGTGAAAGATTTCTTGGAGTTTGAAGGAATTTTGAAGTAATTCAAGTATTTTCTCAATGTTCTGTAACATGCTTGGTTATATTATTTCATAATGTCATAGAAATATATGAAGAGTAATCAAAAAATGTTCCATATAAGTTGACTCTACTATGCATTGAATTAAGATGGATGACTAAACCTAAAAAAAACCAACATCGTCATCTAGTGATTTGAATGAAAAACTTTCCGTTAAATTTACAAAACCTTCCAAAACTAGATCATCAACAAGGAAAAAGAGGTAAATGAATCATGAAAATTGTTTAAACAAGATAAGAAAAGAGTATATGTACAATACAATGAGGATGATGATGAAAATTTAAAATAACTGATCCGATTTAAATATAAAACAAGGTATTCTCATGAAAAAGACAAAGAAAAGGAAAAAGAAAAAGATAATCGAGTGATAAAGATGATCAATAATAGAGTGATCAATTCTCTCCCGCGAGTCCAACCAAAAAACATTTGATCACCCATAAGCCATGATGTTCCCTTATCAAGTAGATTTCTTTCGATGTTCAATCCAACTAAGATATCTTAACCATCTAACCACCAAACCGAAAAAATTCAAAAAACAAAAAGTCAATCTTTTCGATTCTTACCCTCCTCTCCTTGAAAAAAAATCATTCTAATAAACTCGTACCTATTCCTTTCGATTATACCTAAATATAATCCTCTTTCATCTTGAATGACTAGATACCTAACCTATTGAATCAAACCAAACCAAAGCAAAAATGAAACACAAGAAACCCTTTAATCAAAATCAAAATCAAATAACATCATACCGAAAAGAAAAAAATGCCCAATCTAAATCATTACAAGTTCTTTAATCACTTACACCTAACCTTACAAACATCTCATGTAAAAGTTCCATTGGAGATTTAACTGAAACCGTGACCGGAGCATGATCCACTAAATAACTTAAATCCACTTCTTCATCCTCATCATCATTTTCAACCCTACTAGTTCTCCCCACAAATGCTCTACTCTCTTCTTCTTCACCTAAATCTAAATCTAAATCTAAATCTACCATCTCTTTCTCACTCTGAAACTTAATCGATGGATCCAACTTCAAAACTTTTTCCGAAATTAATGAAATCCCATGTTCAAGTTCACTACGACCGATATACCCCAATATCCTTTGATCTCCTACTTCATCTTGACTAACTAATGGAAATCCCCCAGCCGAACTTGAAGATGATAAGTATTCGATTTTCTTTTGGATCTCTGAAATCTTTAATCGATCTTCTAAACAAATCGTCATCGCTTCTGAATCCATAATCTCACTTGGTCTTTCGGAATGTAGATGTGATGATTTCGCATCCAAGTATGGCAAATCTGATGCTTCGATTACTAAATCACTGAATTATGCAAAAATCACATCATAAACCGTGAGTTCTTATGCACAGAATTATGAAAGCTACTTTGGGGTTGAACATCTAAAATGAGAATCTTGTTGAGATCGATGCAAGACTTACTAAATCGATCGACTCTCAATCGCATCAGCTGTTGTTTTGGCTACCAAGACGCTAATAGCAATTGGTAAGATATAAACCAAGCTACCTGTAAGTTCCATCACTAAAGATTTCCAAAGAAAAAAGTATATTGGAATCAGATTTCAAAAGTTCCATTCAAGATCAACAAACTTTTTAAAATATACAGACACTAAAGCAAAACAAAAACAAAGAACGCACCAATAACCACTAAAGAAACCGTAGATCTAGTCACCCCAGCCAACATAGCAGCAGATCCAACCATAGCCCAAACGCCAGGTAAGACACAAGCTTCACCAAATCCATCAGTTCGATTAAGAAAACATTGATGAAAGATTCCAAGATGAGGAAACCGATGGAATCCAAATTCGATAAACAAACCTAAACTTCTACCTAAAAGTGCACCGATCGATAAAGAAGGTATAAAGATTCCTGCTGGGCATTTGATCCCAAAGGTAACGATGGTCAATAAGAACTTTAAAAGAGCTGTGATGGTTAATGATAAGATTAATGGCCCAGTTTGATTTGGATCATGTATACATAAATCTTTAGATTCGTTCGTTTTACATTCTGCTATCATTTCATAAACTAATTCAGATCCACTCATTCTAAGATATTGATTAAAAAACCTAAAGAACGCATTCCCAAAGAAAGTATCAGTAAACTCAAAAAAAGAAATCAAAAAAACATGAAACATAATGGAAAAAGTCAAATTCACCCTAATAAGACGGTAACAAGTGTGACGATTAAAACTTCAGCAATCGGATGGAATTGTAACCAAGTCCGTTTTCGAACATTCTGAGTCCACCAAAAGTTAATTTGAGCAAACCAAGCACCTAATACACCACCTAAAATACCTAACAAGACGAATCCAATAAGTTCAAAAAGGTACCATTGTCGATCATAAGTAACTTCGAACAAGACAGTTTTTCCAGTCTTGAACGGATCTAACACCTGAACCCAAACAACCAAAACGAAAACCGTCAGAATCATAAAAAAGAGACCCCAACAAGAAAACAAATCCATACCCTCAATGTAGCTGCAGCCACTAAAGCACACCAACAACTTCTCCACATGACCCTAGGAGGAAAGAAATAAGACACTTCTTCAAGTGAAAACAAAACCCCACCAATCGGAGCTCCAAAGGCCACCGAAACACCAGCAGCACAAGCCGCACTCAAGACTTCTCTTCTCTTAGCTTCGTTTCGATCGAATTTCTTAAACCATCTTGTAAAGATATTACCAATACAAGAAGCAATATGAACCAATGGACCTTCTTTTCCTAATGATAATCCTGATGCTACTGATAAGGCTAAACCAAATGATTTGGTAAAAAGAGTCCATGATCCTAAATATCCTCGAATTACAAACCTTTTCGGTTAGGAAGGATTGGATCAATTATCCAAAATCAAATGATCATTCAAAGATTTAAATTCAAAATGAAAGACTTACCCACTAAGAATACATTTAATCTCGGGTATACCTGAACCAGCAGCAAAGTAAGCGACTTTATGGGCTCGAGGAGTGGTGACAGAAGGTTCATTAGGAACGTAGGTCTCATCCGATTCTTCATTCAATGGACTAGAACTAGACGATGGTTGATGGATTTCCGGAGATTGTGGAACTGATTCACAATGACGGATGTTCTCATAAGATGGTTTAGAAGTTTGAAGAGTTTTAGACGAAGAGGGTATTGAAGGATCATGTGATCGATCTTTAGCAGAATAAACACTTTCTGAACTTGATAGGTAAACAGTCATTATAGATGATAATCCAGCAAAACAAAGTGCTATGAAAAGGTAAACAGAATACCCTACAAAACGTCGATGGGTATCTGAACCATCGGATGATACGACGTCAGTCCATAGAATCCAATTCGGACATGATGAAGTTGTCGTAAGAGAAGTGGACCACGTTTGGATGAATGAACTGGATGAGAAAGCTGATGATCGGAGTGTGGATTGAGTGGAGAGCGTGTTGAATGGGATTGATGAGATGAATGCATGGGAAAAGGAGCTTGAGTTGGCAGTTGGAATCGGTCGGGAAGGCGTTCCACAACAAAATCGCTTCGGAGTCATCCAACCAGAAGCACAATAACCTGATTTCCAAAAGTAAACAGACTAGAATCCGTCATGATTCTTTCATGAAAGAGTGATGACAGAAAAAGAAGACTTGAGAGAGGTTCACTAATTACCTTCTTTAAGATCGAATAACCACATTTCCAAAGAAACAATCAACCCAGCCATCAAAGCAGTCACCATCCCAATCATCGTCACCAAAACCCAACCTTGAGATTTATCCCATGTTCGTCTAAGTCGACCTCTAAAACCAACAAGTTGATTTAACTTTTTTCTACGAATCGATTGTTTAACATGTTCATGTAACCAATCTACTGAAGTATAAGTATCATACCAAACTCTCATTCCATTACCAGATTGACCAGCTAATTCATCTTTAAATTCAGCATCATAAACTGCTTTACGATTGATTGAAATCGAAGGAGGTCTTGATTCAGGTATTTGAGAATTAGAATAGATCGATAACCAATCTGGTAAACGACGAGCAGATTGATGGAAAGATCTACTTGAAGTCCGATTGATTGATGAATGAGATATTGTATGATAATTTAAATGATTTGATAAGATTGGATTACGTTCTTGGTTTTGATTTTGAATAGAACTAGAAGAGTTTGATAGAAAATGATGAAGTTGACTTGAAGTAGATTGATGATCACTTAATCTAGAGATTGATTGTTTTTTACTAAATCGATGTCTTGGATGAGAATAAGGAGATGAATGATGTTTTTTATGAAATTGATTTAATGGTCTTCTTGATTGTTGATCTGGTGGATTTGATTCTTCTTCTTCCTCTTCTTCTTCTAATGGTTCTTGATAATTTGGATTTGATTTCATGATGAATGCTAAGTAATAAGGATTGATGGATGATTGAGATGATTCCTATTTCTTGGAGTGACTTGCCATTATATCCACCACACTTGAATGGTATTTGATGGTGCTTGGACAGCGAGCACCTGCACATTCATTTGAAACTCAATGTGCCGCGGCTCAAAGCAAATATTTCAAAGCGGACAAACGGGTCGCAATACCCGTCACCGCGGCAATGGGATCATCTAGAATCCAGGAGTCCGCCCTGCACTTCAAGTTCTGCTATTCAATGAACTCTGCAAGAACAATATTGGTCGACAATACATAATGGCACGCTCAATGAATATCTGAACAATTTTCAATCTCCTTGCAATACAATGACTAAAATCTTTAACCCTCACAATTCGTGCAGTTGAGCCTAACAAAAGTTCTCATACAATCTCAAAATATTTATTCCTGATCAAGATCATCAAACATTAATATATATCTTAATCTCATCAACAAACAAACAAAAAATGATTCCAAAGAAATAAAAAAACAAAAAATTCAATCATCTTTTCTTTCGAGAAGGTTGATTACTTCTTTGTTTTCTACGATCTTTCATATCCCTTTCTTTTCGAATCTGTTCTACATTCTTCAATCCTGCATTCCTAATCGATTGACCTGGTCTACCTTTACCTTTTTTGCCTTTCAAATGTGCTCCTCCTCCAATCCCTCCTCGAGTAACCGTATGAGTAGGTCCTAAAAACTTTTTCTTTCCATCTGATGTTTTACCAAAAGCTTTGTTCATTCCATTCTTAAAATCTTTTCCACCATGACCATGACCATTCCCATGGCTTTGGTTTGGATTCTTTCGATTTGTTGATTCTTGTGTATCTTCCTTCGCTCCAGATTGATGTCGATACTTACGATAATCCATTTGGTTTCGTCCTTTCATTTCAGTTTCTCCTACATTTGGAATCCTAACTTTTTCTTTCTTTTGCCAATCATCAAAAACTCCACTCTTAAAACTAGCTGGTAATTTCGCTCCACTTTCAGTCTTTACTAATTTCACATTATCAGTTCCTCCTTGATTAGATTTAACAAACTTTTTGGTTCGTCTATCCCATCTGACTTGTGATGCTTTTTGAACGGTTGTAGTCGAAAATCTTCCTTCATCATCAGCTCCTAAATCAAAACCATATGCATTGGCTTGAGCAACAAAAGATGGAGCTGTGCCTTCATTAAGATTATAACCTTTTTCGGCTGCTGCTCCATCTTGTTCATAAGTAAGATAAACTTCAGGATCTTTATAACTTGTGGGTCCTGATTTCTTGCGCTTCCGAGGCATCTCAAATGCATCCTGTTGTAGTCAACATCATATTTAAAAGTAAGCTTTCCATAGAAATTTCAAAACCAAAAGGAATTCACAAACTAACCTCTAATTCAACCTCTGTTGCTACTTCAGAGGGTTTAGTTTTAGATGATTTCAAACTTGATTTTTGAGCTTCAATAAGAGCATAAGATTCCTTGGTCGAAGTCTGTTCATCTTCTTGTTCTTTTGTCACAGCTGCTCGTTTTGAAATCACTTTGCCCATCGATTTCCTTCTATCTCGCATCAGTTGAGCTGCTGGACTCTTTCCACGTGTTCCAATCTCAAACACAGTCTCAGTCGGAGTGAATTTGTTGACTTTGGCTAATAGTTCGTCTCTTGACGGTCCCTTTCGTTTGGAAGTGAGTGCAGCCACAGTCTCAGGCGAAGGAGCACCGAAGATTGGATGAGTCGCGGCTTCCTCCTTGCTCGTGCCGGTTAATCCCTCGCCTGCCAAAACGAGAGCTTTTGATCGACGATAACTTTCTGCACTTGCGGTACTTTGACTTCTGATATACATCTTTTGAGCTCGTCTGACTACTTCAGTAAGTGCTACGAGTGATGAATTAGGTCCTACAAGTGTCTCTCGTACATATTCTGCTTCCGAATCTAATCTTTCCCTTGGTAAAGTGCCTAAGACCAAATTGGCTGAGAAATCAGGATTTTGGGAGACCTCAGGGTGAAGTGGACAAGTCAGAAGTGGTCTTGATAAAAAGAGTTGCAAGTCCATTAAATATGGTAATTCAGTTTGTGTGACTAAGGAGTAAGCCCATCCCTTTCGACCTGCTCTTGCAGTTCTTCCAACTCGATGAACAAATGCACGAGCCGAACTAGGGAAATCGTAATTGATGACGTTTTCGAGAATAGGAATATCAATACCACGTGCGGCGAGATCAGTGACCACCAAGATATTAGTTCGACCGGCACGGAAAGCGTTCAACTGATTCCGACGAGCAGCTTGATCGAGTGCACCATAGATATGTGAGACTCTATAACCAGCTGAAACCAATAATCCGGTGAGATATTCGACATGGTGCTTAGTAGCTGCAAAGACAATCGTTTGATGAGGTGCTAATTCTGGATTCGGATTGAATTTTCCTTTGGATGATTTCTTGTCAAATCGCTTGGCTTGTAATTGTTGCCGACGGTTATAAGGAGTATCATGATCCTCATAATCTTCAACTTCAATCTCTGTACCATCTGATTTAGGTACACCAATCACGTCAGCAAGAATGACTAATAAACCTGCATCTTTCTCATTAGGTTTGATACTCAAGAAACCCATTTGTAAATCAGAACTGATTTTAGATTCACTATCTAAACGAACTAATTTGGGATTTTGTAAACCAGCTTTAGCGAATTCGACCAAAGTTTTAGGTAGAGTAGCTGAGAAAAGTAATGTTTGTCTACTGTGTGGTAATCGAGATAGAGTTTCGTGTAATTGAGTTTCGAATCCCATTTCAAATAGTCGATCTGCTTCATCAAAGACGATATATTGAACTGATTTTAAATCCAAATTCATTTCCACCGCCAAATGGAGTAATCGACCGGGTGTAGCAATAATCCTATGATCCGATCAAAATCAGTCAAAGTCCTCAAGCTGATCGAGATGTAGTATTGAAGAACTTACACATCTGGATTACTGGCAAACATAGCAAACTGTTCTTCCAAAGAATCACCTCCTACAATCAATCCCCATCTCAAACCTTCACCTTTACCACCACCTTCTTCTTCATTACCAGTTTGAGTTCCACCACCTTGAACGAATCCCTTGGCCAGATCTTTACCTACTTTTAAAACTTGTACTGCTAATTCTCTAGTCGGCACCATCACCAAAGCTCTCACACCAAACAAAACATTATGTCTACCACCTAATTTATGAATCAGAGGGATCAAATAAGCCAAAGTCTTTCCACTACCAGTCCGAGCCATTCCTACTACATCACGAGCAGGTGAAGCTAAGATATGAGGTAAGACTGCTCGTTGAATTGGAGTTGGAGTGGTGAATCCACGAAGCAAGATCGCTCGAAGTAAAGCAGGATGAAGTCCTAAAGATTGAAATGAACCACCTCCAGTTAAAGTATTGGATTTTTGATTTTTTTGATGACGTGATTTTAGAGCGATTGCACCAGCTTTGAAATTAGCTTTTTGAGCTGATGCACGAATGAAAGCTTCGTCATCATCATCTTCTTCGTCTTCTTCTTCATCTTGTTGTTTATGTCTTCGTTTGGGGTCTGTTTTTTGAGCTTTTGTTGGTTTGTTTGTCGATGAACTTGGATTGGCTAGAGATTCAGTGATATCGAGTTGATAGTCATCATCGTCATCTTCAAAGTCAGATTGATCAAATTCATATTCTACTGAATCATTATCATCCTCTGTGTCTGAGTGAGTTGGTCGAATGGGTGGCATGATGGGTTGAATGATGAAGTCAAAAGAGAAAGTTGACTTTTTTTTCGATTGAGTTTGCAAAAGTTGACCACTTTCAATACATGTCACTGGAAATATATGACACACACTCTCTACAAGCATATCTGATGCTTGTATCTTGTATGGAGTGATTCAACTCTGGAGACTTCGTCTTCTCGCTCAGTTCCTCAACCACTTCACTTATGGCAGCCAGTACAAAATTCGTTAATCAAGTTTGGAAGGTACGAGCAGACCGAAATATTGTTTCATGAACAAACTATAATCTACTATTCGAAAGTGGCTCTCAAGATGGACAAGTGGTTTGCTCATCTAATGACATGCCTATAAATTTAATTCACTTCGAAACTTTAGGCCTTCCTTTCGAATAATGGTACATCATCTTCACCTATTCGTCAAAAGAGCCATCTTTCCGATCATAAGACTCTCTTGATGAATAACCAATAATGAATTTGATTTTGATCAATTTGATTTCATAAACGAACCATCAAAGGACACGATGCAACATGTTTATCAAAAATGAAGATCCTTTCAGCTCGTCCTGACGGTTTAATCCATGCTCGATTACCTATTACCAATCATAACTTAAATCGACTTGGATCAGTTCATGGTGGATTGATTTCAAGTATAATTGATACTTGTGGTAGTCTTAGTTTAAGTGCAAAAGGATTATGGATGACAGGAGTTTCTACTGATATACATGTTAGGTAACTTCAGTTTTTATTCAACGTCTTGAAAGAATAATTTGTCGAATTAAAGGTTTTGATGGATATGATTCTTTTTAAGTTATTTGCGTCCTGCGGGAAAAGAAGGATCCAGTATAGATATCGAAGCCAAGGTGGAGTCGATGGGTAAGACTCTTGCGTATACTAGCGGTACGTCTTCTTATTTCCACTTTTTGATATTGGCTTTCGTAGTTCTGATCATGAAATCATTCAAACAGTGTTTCTTCGGGACCCTGTTACTGGCAAATTGTTAGCACGAGGTATGTATGATCATGAAGTATTCCTTTTGAGTGTTTCTAACTAACATCGCTTGAGCGAGTTTACTTTTTATAGGTTCACATACTAAGTTTATTGCACCTTCAGTAGGACATTCTATGAATGTAAAATTTGATGAGACAGGTGAGAATATTATAGAAGGCAAGATGCCAAATGATGTCGACATTAAGAACTGAAAAATAAGCTCGAGTGTGTAAGAATACAATCCAATGCTCTCAGGTATGGCGAGGGTGTTTTGCAATCAGATAAATTGTTCAACTTGTAATCACTGGAGTGGATCCAATTACCACTACTTGAGTATAACGATAGGCGGTCTACGAGCTGAGAAATGATCTGTAGCCTACCAGTGAGTGTAGCTCTCATGATGTGCTTTATGTAAAAAAATCGAGATATAAACATTTCCATCTCAAGTCTGTGGTCAACGGAGAGACTACTTGAAGATTGATTTGTGAATAAATGCGGATACCTAACATAATTGCTCTGTTTAGCATAAGCCATTTAAATGGAATCACAGCTACAGTCTAGAAATGAAGATTGTCTTTTACCAAAGGTGACAGCAACGATGGATCCCAGCTTGCATTGAGATCCCCTTTAATCAAGATAGATAGGCAACTCAACTGGACTCGCCTCAAGCGTGACGCCAGTTTGTTGAAGCTTGGTATATGCAGTAAAATCAGTCAAATAATCTTTTGTGGTATGTTTTGTACAACACCTTGATATTGTTAAAACTTCTCAGTCATTGAAGACGCGGTTGATTGAATTTCAAGACTTGACCCTCAGAATAATCAAGAGGTCTACTTTGCACATGCAATTGGCAAACTCATACGATTGAAAGGTTTTTTCGGGTGGGCCAATGATCGTGCCCTTTCTGAAAAGTTGAACCTTCACCATCCTTCACGTGATTTTGGGTTGAGAAGTCTGTAAAAAGATGAATACTGGTGGTAGGAAATCAAGATGAAAGATATAATCAACTTGGCTCAAGTTTTTAAAAATTTTCCATCTTATTGTAATTAAAAGACCCATTCCAAGCGATTACATGTATAATTGACTAGCCTTGATCTCCTCCCAGATTTTTTTAACCATTTCTTCCGTCTTGTGATCATACATACATAGATGACTTTTCTGTGACCATTGGAAGTTGGGATTGACATTTGTTATTTCATTTGAAAGACACCCATTGTGATTATATGAGGAATGAAATATTTTTCAGATGCGATGAATTGCGATATTCTGATCAGTATCCTGAGTTCAGAGAGTCTTCCAACCCACTCCAGATTCCAGAAAACCTCGAAGCTCAGCTGGTCTATCTATATCTGACTCGAGAGGTCACTTCGCGTGGTGGGGCGTGTCGCGTTACAGGTCACGTGAGCAGTGTAGATGGTTTTTTGAATTTGAACCTCATCGACACTTCTGAATCTAATGACCGCTCTTCTTCCTCCTTACCTTCCTTTCCATTACCTTACGGGTTTTTAGTACACATCATGCAAAACTCGGAAAACAAGGATGGAATGCTTCAGTTTATGCACATCATCGAGAAACTCAAGACTACCAAACGAGCAGGATGGGTACGAGAGGAAGCAAAACAACCGGAAAGGTAATCATACTCCTCACCGCTCGTTATCATTCGATTCCAGTATACAATATCTTACAATACATCGAACACTCTATCAGCATCGCAGATCATATGTACAGGATGGCTATGCTGGCGATGATGTCACAAGACGACCCAGCTTTGGATGTTCCCAAGTACGTCCTTTTCGGGTCCTACATGATGAGGGTGTGTAGATTTATAGCTATTCGGAGATTTCTGTCTTCGAGAGAGATTCCATTGGTCTACACTTGACTGGGAAACCGACTCATGACTAATCCCTTGGTTTTTGTTCGGTCCTGATAGGTGCGTGATGCTTGCAATTGTGCATGATTTGGCTGAAGCGGAAGTGGGAGGTTAGTGGATTTGAAGTTCAGTGACTCTGTGATCGGATTAGTTCGTTTGACTATGTTTCACATCAAACCAGATATTACGCCGCTCGATGGAATTTCTCGAGAAGAGAAACATCGTCGGGAAGAACAGGCCATGAAGCGGTTCACCCACGAACTTCTGCCTGCTGGTTCCGTGGCTGGTAAACGGATATGGGATCTGTGGCAAGAATACGAACAGGGCGAAACAAGGGAGGCTAAATTTGTCAAAGATATCGTAAGCGGTCAGGGCTTGCGGTCAAGTGCTTGTATGCACCCAGGTGCCTAATGCTGAAGTTGAAAAAATCACATCTTATGTAGGATCGATTTGAGTTGGCTCTGCAAGGTGTCGAATACGAAAAGAGTGGGGTCTCTGTTCAGGTCTCTTTCAGTATTTCCAACATAGGTGCAAGCCGACTGATTTTCAATGTATCTTTACTAGGGGACAACCTGGAAAAACTCCAACCCTTTTTTGATACCACTATACCACACATCACTCATCCGGAGGTAAAAATGTGGGCTAATAAACTGTACGTCATTTTATTTTACTGACCATCATCTCACACATCTTATCTGACTATGAGCCCATATGGTCACCAAGAATGGATGAGCGTTCTGAAATGCAAAGCTCAACTCCATTTGTCGAAGACTTCAAGGATGTACGACCAAAGCCATGAACATACACGTATATGTGAAGAATGGACAAAGTCATGTAGAGTGTTCAAGAAACGGGTTCGCATCAATATCAAGCTGTAAACAAGTCCCAATGTTATGAAATAAAATATGTCTATATACTCGTTTTGCTGGTGATGAGGCTATAGGCACCCTTCAATCTTGGAGGTCACTGTTAGGCATGAACTCGACTGCACAGTTGATGGATAAGCTAACTGTATGAAGCATCATCATTTCACACACTTGGCAATGTTGTTTTGAGCAGACACCCAAATGCTCAATTTCTCGGAGTCGTGGCCCACAACCCTGCTATCAGTGGTTTACAGCTACATTTCAGAATCCAGAAAGGTAAATGACGGAGACCAAGCAAGAGAAGCCACTGAAAACATCTCTCACTGTGACACATGTCTGATCACTTGTTTGTGAGTGTGCATTCCATGACTCTTGATAAACACGCGGCACACCGCACGTTGCACTGTGCCATTCAAATTTTCTGCGGACGCGTCCGGACTCCGCCCCTGTCGATTTTGAAAATTTCAACGGGAAAATGGCATTGTTTACAACACATACCTCTGCGGTAAGTTGTGAACTCTGGGACAGTTCCTGATGAAGGTTATGGGTGGTGATGCATGAGTATGCCACATATTACATTTGCCGAAAGCGGTGGTATGAGAATGAAACTTCTAATTTCAAGATCAGTGGAAAACTTGAAATTCTTGTCGATTTCCAAAATTCCAGAGAAATTCTGGTGGTCAATCGAAGCCTTTTGCAGACGGTGGTACGATCAACTTGGTCGAGACCCTCACTGCGTCTTGACAACCAATCACAACCTCAAGCGACAATCAAGAATCCAACGGACAATGCCAGTTACAGCACTTAGAGCACCCACTATGGTGGGAGTGTTTTATCGTAAAGTTTGCGTTCCTGAGCGCGAAGTTTGATCATGCGTGTTTTACCAAAGTTGGTAACCGCGTGAAATCCACTATGGGATGATTTATCGTCTGCTTTCCCTAGTTCCTACGATAAATCAAGTCGTAGGCTTGCGTAAATCTGAGCACACGAAGTGCAAGACTTGACGCAGCCGTACGGACCGCAGGTCTAAAACAGGTCCATAGTGGACATGTTGGTATTTTAGCGTTAGGGTAACGCTAAATCACCGAGTTAACGCAACCATAGTGGGTGCTCTTAGGCACAACAACAAATACACCTAATGCGTAGTCTCAACTAACCTAATGAGGATTAGACCGCGGTAGAAGAGAGATGGAGCATTTTGAAAAGGAGAGATAGACACAGCCACACAACGAAGTAGCATAGAAACAGATTAAGCATCTAGGACGAGAACGAGAACATACATAGAGGGAGACCGGTATAAGACAATCCAAAAGGAGGAAACCCCAAATGATAGAAAGCTACAAGTCTCTACTTGTCCAATCCTGATTCTTGTCCAGTTGTGTTGAGGTGATTTCATAAGAGCCTTCCGTCCACCGGAGCTTCATTTCATGGGCCGAAGACGGTTGCAAATATGAGTCCGTTGGAATCTCACAAGTACCCTTTGCAATTCACCTACGTTTCTACGATAAACGAGTTGTAGCCTTGAGCTAGCGCGGTAAAGGAAGTTGTCATCATCCACATGGTGTTTTCTAATTCTTGGCGTAGTTGTGTAGCAAGGGTCTTTCGCTCCCGAGGCAGTATCGATAGCTTAGCCCAATTCGTCCCTCCATCAATTGCAGAGCGCTACTTTCAGCCACGGTTGCTGAGGAATTTGTCTATAAAAGTCGCAAGTTCTGGCACGCGTGCAGGCCCTTGCACCCCTCCAATCATTTCATCTTTTCTGTGTATCTTCTTTAGCCAGCAATCATCATGTTGTGCTTTTCTGTTCATATGTCCAAGCTTTCATTTTTGTTTTTACTTTCTTGCATATGTCACTTCCATGTTCATGCACAGTCAGACGTCTTAGACTCATTGCCAAGTGTCCAAGAACCGAATTTGGTCGACGAGCTCACTTTACACACGCGAAACGACCCAAAATCCCAAGCATCACGGAACCCAGACTTCCCTGTAGCAAACCTCTCAGACTGGACATTGTCCAATAACACAGAGCTTCCATCATCAAACATTACCGAGCTGCAAGCATCATCAAACCTCACAGGAACAACATTAACTCTTAACGTCACAAGCCCACACTCGCCAGCCGTCGTAAAAATTAAACTCAGGCCATTGATATTACCTCCTGAAGCTAGCGTACTGCCAAAAAACAACGAGTCAAAGATCTTGAAGCCGAGTTTGGAAAATAACAATTTACGACATCCCGTCAATGCAACCAAACCATGGGACACAACGAAACCGCCAGTAGGCGCTCGTGTGGTCAGACAGGACCCGCGCGCTGGAGAATTTGGGTAAGTGAGATGAAGAACAAACAGTGATTCAGACATCTTTGTTTATCTTATATTTATGAACATGTCCTTTGAAATTCCTTCCTGCAGAACTATACAAGCGGCGTTATCATTCTTGAAAAATCTCACAGCACAAGCTCAAAATGTGACCCAAACTATCTTTATATATCCCGGTACGTCTAGTCATCTTGATCACGGATAGACATTCATCTAGCTTATCTAGAAGGGCGGGAACTTTTGTATAGGCACGTACAACGAAAAATTGATTGTCGACTATAAAGGGGTGAGGCGCAACCCCAGTCTTATGCATAGGTGATACGCGATTGCTAAAATGTCCTATTCTTCTGTAGCCTTTGAAAATGGTGGGATATACCGTAGATAGGCATAACTTCAGCCAAAACTTGGTCAATATCAATGGCTCAATGGGTGCTCAAAAGGCAGGGAGCAATGAGCTGAGTGCCACTGTAAGAATAATTAAGGACGAGTAAGTCTCAATGTACTATACCTTGATGAAGCTTGTGCTATGACTGACAGCGACCGATGATTCTTTCTCCCCTCCTCGTCAGTTTCTCCATGTATAATATGTGAGTTGTTTCTCTATTAATCACGCCAGACGTGATCCATTTACGCGAGCCCTTCTTCCATTTCCAGAAATGTCTACAATAGTTATGGGCACCAAGGTCATCTCAGCCAAGCTATTGCACTTTCAGGGACAGGGTCAAGACAAGGTTAAACCACCTCTGAATCTGCCTACAAGTCTTTGAAACTGACTTGGTAAATAATCATCAGCATACTACGCTTGCAGTTTCTTCGGGTATCAAGACACCCTGCTAACCCTCAATGGATACCATTATTATTCGGAATGCTACATTCAGGGAGCCGTAGGTATGTTGCTTGTTGCTCGCGCTCTGCTATCAAACTGCTCTGATATTCTGTCACAGATTTTATTTTCACACAGAAAGCAGTAGTTTGGTTTGAAAAAGCTACAATTGGAAGCGTTGCACCCGGCGTGTAAGTCATTGAGACCCCAACCTTGAGTGTGAAAGTCAATTTTACTGAATAACACACCAACCACTCATTTTGGATTTCAAACTCAAAGAATAAGTGCAAATGGAAGAAACGATGCGATAAACCCTTCTCGCTATGTATTCAATAGAGCTAAAGTCATCTCGAAAGGTGCTGCTATAGGCTCGGTTTATCTCGCAAGACCATGGGGAAACTACTCACGAACTACCTTCCAGTTCTCTTACCTCTCAGAAGTCGTCAATCCGCTGGCGTGGCGTGTATGGCAAGACGGGGATACTCGAACTAATCATGCCAGTTATACAGAGTATCGAAACCATGGGCCAGGCTCTGTCTTGTTTCCACCCAACTGGAATTACACTCTAACACACAGTCAAGAACCTATCGATGTAGGAAAGCCTGTGAATGGGAGCAAGGTACCTGTTGTGACTCCGCCTATCGTAGAAAACGCCACCAGCTTGGGAGTACCACCTGGTTCGCGCGCAGTATGGGGTAAGGAGCGTGCGCGACCTTGCAAAATTACGCAAGTGCTTGGTAAAGTGAGTCGTTTTCTATCACTAACCTTGTGTCTTGAAATCAAATTCTCACTCCTTGTTCTTTGTGAATAATTTAGGATTACGCAATTTGGATAGATCCCGACTTTGGTGTCGACCCATTCTCAAGTGGCAACACCGAAAATCTGGCAGGGAAACCATCTTCAAATGGCACCACCATCAATTTGGGCGGCAAAGAGACTTCAAATGTCACTGCATCAACTGTGACGGGCAAAGATCCTTGATAAAAAGTGTTTTGTAAATTTTGTGTTAAATTGGTAGCGATTTGAGGTTTGGGGTGTTTGTATTTGGTTCAAGTCTTTCTGGATATTATGTGGATGTCGTGTATACGAGTGTGTCATCTATCGTTGAACGAGTTCCTATGACTGTATCTTTTTTTCTTCTCATTGAAAACTTGTGTACATGATCTTTCTGAACTCTCTTCATCACTCATTGACACCATTAATTGCCTGTGTATATCATAATAGTAGTCATCTTAGTTCTCTTTTCATTGTGGAAACCGATTTTGTTTCATCATTTATCATAGGGGCGAGACAAGAATTCTCTAGATATTAAATTCGCAAGGCATGGTAGCTAAGAAATGACGCCATATGTATCACTCTTTTAAATTTGACCAACTGTGAAGGCACTTTCCAGCTGAGATTGCACTTCCAGCAAGGCAGTACAAGAAATTCACTCTCTCCGGATGTGATGTAGATACGTTATTGAAGTTCATCTAAATCCTACTTCAGAGGACCAGGTGGGAGCCCTTCTGAATGCAGAATCCAATATCATTACTCAACTCTATCATATTTCAGACTGCCTAAATAAATACCTTCATAACTGTCGCAGTTTTTCCTCCTCTCAAAAATTAAACTTTGTGTTTGAAGCAATATATATAGATGGAGAAAAATGTTCAAAGGATGTCTGGGTCCTTCTCAATATGTTTTTGCAGCAAAGGCTATACAACAGTTAAAGTGACCCAGATAACATGACAAGATGAGATATGATGTGTCATCGTCCAGAATAAAATAAATATGATCATGCCAAAGCCCGTTCTTGTTCATGGAGTTACATAAACAAATCAAAAAAAATGGTTCAATTTGAATACAAAACAATATTAAATAAGAGGAGTGTGATTAAATAAAGATTTTCATCTTATCAAAGATTGAAGAACTTTTTCAGCTCCGATTTCTCCAATCGCATAAACAGTCAATTGAGGATGAAAAGCCAAATGTATAGGTAAAATACTTTGTTTTTTTGGTGAAAATATAAATGATCCAAACCATACCAAGAGATAACAATTAGCAAAAATAAAGAAACTCAATAATTTTATATAAACATCAAAAGTAAACTACCTTACCTTGCATCTATTACTCTTAAATTATTTGTACCATAAACTTTTAAATCTGGATCTACAACACCATTATCTTTGAGTGGTAACATAGATGCTGTACCAATCGGATGATCTAAAGAATTTCCAAACATTCAATTTTGCAAAACCAAAATAATCGAGTATTAGATAAAGTATATGAGAAGTAAAGGAGACGCTCACAAAGCGTATCTATTGAACTTCTAACATATTCATTAAAGTCATCTAAACTTTGAACTTTTAAACTTGGTAAATGTTCTTTTTTGATGACTTGATTCCAAGTGTTTTGATTGATAATCGATCTAGAATGATTACTTGCTTTTGATAATAACCAAACATCAAATGGATGGTTCAAAAACCCTAAGAAGAAAAATTAACCACACACATCATTCATCAAGAATCAATTTCCATCTTCATGTTTTGGAAAGTGTTAGGATTGAGAGATTTGTTTTCTTTTACCATTGTCTATTGTAGGTGGTATGTTTTCGTCTTTTGATGTGATATGAGTTGATCCTCTTGATAAAGGGTATTGTAAACAAATCACAATGGAGATACTGGAAATCAAAAGATAAAGAAATTAGATTGATTCATTCCAAGATCCAAGGCACACCAAATCTAACTCAACTAAGATTTTCCAACTTCAGGTTTCATCTCTAGCTAGAAACTCGGACCAAAAACCAAATCATAAAACCATCTTAGAGTTGATCTTGATCAGGAAAGAAGATGACTCACAGATCTACGATTCACAAGGATGAATTCCATCGGAGTACCATGCTTGATCAAATCCAAATTCACATCAAAAGCCATACCATCCACCGAATTTGGAATGTGTTGATGATCTCGAATGATTTGAAACCCTTCTTGAATTTCATCTTGATTTAAAAACCCATTCAAATCTTCAAAATCAATCACATTCACCGAATTAGTTAAGATGCCTTGTTTCTTAACTTGATATAAATCGATTTGTTCATTCGCAAAAGTTAAATTAGTGGATAAATCATCCATTGAAGTTAGACCAGGTAAGAGTTCATAAACGTTCCAAAGTAATGGATGATCAATTAAATTGTTTCCTACACCTGGTAAATTCAGTACGCATGGAATCTTAAGCTTTGATAATCTTTTGGTGTCACCTATTCCACTTTGTTCTAAGATCTTAGGTGTACCAATCGAACCTGAACTTAAGATCACTTCTTTTTTGGCGTAGATCAGGTTTTTTGAATTCGATTTGATCTCTACACCTCTGATTGTGATCTTTCCATTCAAAGCTCTTTTCGTGATTAATCTTTTAATTTCCGTATTTGTTTTAATAATCAAATTAGATCTAGGTTGGTTCACTAAAAAACACATCAAAGATCTAATCAGAAAAACTCATCCATAGCGTTTTTCTTTTGAAAAATTATATCAATCAATCTTACAATAACCAGTTTCAGATGTGACTCTTTTAGAATCCTCATCAATCGTAGAAGGATAAATCCAAGGACCATTAATCTGACCTCCAAATGTATCTAAAGCTCTTGGATTATGATTTAAAACATAACTTGAATTAAAATAATTTTTCCAAAACTTGAATAAATAGTTTGGAAAAGTGAGTTTGATGTTTCCTTTTTGATTATGATTTTTTTCTAAAAAATTGAATTCAGTGGTTTGATTATTTATTTTATAAATTAAGTTTTCTGATTTTCTTATACCTCTATCGAATGTTTCCCATCCCCTTTTAGATAATCAAAAATTTAAAATTAAAGATTAGAAAACAAGATATGCTATAGGAATAAAAAAATTATTAAAAAATGTTCAAGCTTACCATCCTGGATTTCCTAATTTCTCAATCGAATCATAATCAAATTTAGATCCTTTAGTAGCAATCATAAAATTCAAAGCAGATGAACCACCTAAACACTAAAATCAAAAAAACCATATCAATCTCTTTATTTCTTAACACAAACTCAAAAAAGAAATCAAAGAAATCTTCAACAAACTTTGCCTCTAGGATAAACCAATGAACGATTATATGCATTAGGTAATCGAATAGTCGAATAATTCCAATCAATCGGACTACGAATCGTACTACCTATCAATCACAAACTTATCAATCTGTTGTCTTTCTAGATCTTGAATCTAATAAAGTCATTGTAATCCGAGAATGTTTACCAAAATAACCTGGGACGGTAACTTGTGGATTATTCAATGAACTATTTCCAGCCTTGAAATAGATAGGTAAGTCAGCATTGATCAATCATGTATGTTGAGAAAGATAGGAAATGGTTTACTTCGATCACACAAACGGAGATTGATGAATTGCTTTCTGCAAGTCTAGAGGCCAATGTTAAACCTATCATGAATCGTAACATCCAACATCAGAAGCATCCAAAGAGAAAGCATGAGTAAGACTTCTGTTGTCTTTAGAGTTCAATACTTCACCAGCTGTTCCACCACCAATGACAAGATAATCAAAACTTTCGATTTGATTAGGTGATTTGATAAAAGTTGAATGTATGAAATGTATAGTTGAATGTAAGATCAAAATCTTTAAGAACTTCATTCTGATTTCGTTAAACAAAAAAGATGAAAAGGTTCGACAAATGTAAAAGTGGTCAACAATGTTTAAGTTTTGAACTCTTTAAAGTGCTTTAATGTATTCACATTCGAATTGAATCATATCCCTTTCCTCACTTTTCTATAAATTATCACCTGCATCCAATCAATTACCTTTTCACTTGTAGAGGGTTGTACGAAGTGTTATCAGAATAGACTTTGTGAAAGGTGAAGGATACTCAAGCAGAAGGTTGTTGAGCAGCTTGCTTCCAAAAGAGGTGCGATAAAAATGGCAATGCGACCTCCACTCTCCTCCACCCGAAGTTCCAATGGGTAGACTTGAGCCAGTGTCATTTTAATTGCTTTTATCCTTTTTCGCTGGCTGCCTACATAAGTTGTCTTCCCTTCTTTTTCCATCTTTCTCCAAATTGGTGACCAATACCATCTATCCTTATTCAAAAACCAAAAACAGTATGGACATCACCAAACCGAAACTGGTTCTCGTCCACTTCTTGATCAACATGATCAAATGTATATGTCATCTTATTCATGGGTTGTAAAACCTGGGAATTAGATTGCATTTTTTCATCATTCAGATGAGACTTGTGTTGATTTAATGATCAGACAAGAAATCCGGTTTTTAGCGGCAAGTTCCTCGATCGAGCCTCGGTTTCGCGGCGAGAGTCTAGACTTGACCAAGTTTTATCCTACATTCGAACCAACACCAACGTATTTTGAGTCTCTTTCCTCACGATATCATCTTTGATAAGTAAATCGAAAGAAACTGTATGTAAACCTCATGATGAAATACGAACCCCAATAAGTGATGATAAGTTCGAGACATCAATTTATATGCTCAGGTCCAAAAAGGTAAACCATCTTTTCTAGAATCAGAAAAGGTAACATATTTTTTTCAAGTTTTCTTATCTGATGATCTACGTTTCATAACTTGAACTCGATATACATCTCGAACCCCAGTGAATTAGTTGATGATTGAAAAAGGTATATGAAGAATGAGAAAAGATGATAAAAAGTAGAAATCATGATCGTAAAGGATTTCCTCAATCGATTAATATCTTGATAGTAATAGTAGAAGTTGATTAAAGTTTACTATTTTGGTGAAAAAGGAACAAGTTCAAATTAAAATCGATTCCTCGGATTTAGATAATCATCTTTTCCCATTTCTCTTCAAAGCTACTCTATCAGTACATACCAGGAATATTTCTTCATTTCTTGATTATTTAAATCCTTCTACTTCTTCTACTTCTCCATCTCCACATTCCCAAATTCTGCTTTGAAACTCATTTACCACCCAATTGATTATTGCTCAAAGTCTGAATAAAATTCAACAAAGAAGATGATTATCCCATTGAGCATCCAACTTGATTTAAAAATTCATCAACCTGATCAAATTCAAAATCAAACACAAGACCATATTATAAGTTTAAATTTAAATGAAAAGATCAATGAAAACTCAATCCAATCTACTCTTATCACTCTTCCAAAACTAGAAACCTCATCAAATTCATCGTAAGTGATCAATTAACCTTCCAGTTTTGTCTTTTGTTTTGGTGATTCTTAATATCAAACCTTCTATTATATTTTCTTAGCAAACGCAAACCATTCAAGGACCTAAAGTTTCAACTTCTCGAATGTATAACAAGCCTTTTAGTATGGTTAATAATCCTAAACCTTTGGAGGATTTTCAATGAAATGGGACCTTTAAGTTTTCAAACCCAACCTTTCCTAAACCTATTTAGTTCAACAGAATTTGATTGGAATTTAAGTTTTTCTAGTATTGAAAATGAATTGGATTCGATTACAAGTATGAAGGATATTCCTATTAGATCTCAGTAAGTTTTTCATCAGTTTTAATCTTTTCTTGTAGATATATTTGGTTGAGTCTTGATGAATATTTTATTTTATGGCTTAGTGCAAGGAATTGGTTAACAGAAAGTTCTCAAACTATTTTCAATCCTCACCCAACCTCAACCTCAACCTCGTATCCTACTCCTAATGAAGACTTCAACTTTGATTTCCAAAATCAGAAGCAAGACTTTAATTTAAATCCCAACGATCAATCCGATCCTAATCCTAATCCCAACCAAACCTACGAATCCAACGATGAATCAAGCATCAAACTAAAAGAAACCTTAACCGCCCTAAATGATAATGATGCTGATGAATTTATTTTCTTTAAATCGCTTCAAACCTCAAACCTTCATCAAACTCCAAAAGACAATTCACAAGAAACCCTTCATTCAGACTCAGATGATTTAAATATTTTTAATGAACTAGATGATCCTTTACCAACATCATCACCTTATATACCTATAACAAACCCCGATCCAAGTCATGAATTAGATTTCCTTTTGTAACACCTGTGAAACATACCCTTGACCTTAAACTTTCTTTTTTTATCTTGTTCTAGTTTTTCACTAATCCAATAATTTTCCATTCTTGCTTGTATAAGGACTTTCCATTCTTATTTTTCTCAAATCTATCTCTTTATCTTTTATTTTTTCATTCTCATCCTAATTATTTGATCTTTAATCTTTGTTTAATGTTCATCTGGGTTGTGATTTTTACTTTTTTCTTCTTGTTAGATTATTTGATCTTCAAAAACCTGTAAAACAAATGAATTTGGAAGTACTTAATAAGAATATAAAAGATAAAAAAGGAGACCGTTGTTGAAGCTCATTCATTGCACCTGTACCACCACCAACACGATCTTCTCAAATTGGAGTGATTTTGTGATAGTGGGCTCCAACATTCCTCTGACCATCTCTTACAAAGGAAACATTGATTCCACAGATTTGAGCCGTATCAATATGCAAATTGAACAACAATCTATCTTCTTCTCATGTATCATAGCCAACACTTAATATACCCACCCCCACCCCTGTTCAAACCAAAAGTTTTCCTCAAGTTTGGGTACAAATCATAAACTACAAAACCAATCTCTTTATGTTTCTCCAAACCAAAACAAAAAAACACATCACATCACACAGAATCAAAAAAGATGAATTCTACACTCAAAGAAAAAAAACAATTGAATGACATTATTAGGGAAAAAACCCCATTCATGATGAAAAGTTCATATATAAATATAAAATGAGAAAAAAAAACTGTTCGTAATATGCAATTTTGAATTTCAATTTTTTTTTTCTTTCATTCAAAGATTTTTCTTCAAAAAGAACTCCGGTTCGCTCACTTTATCTAAACAAAAGAAATAGAAAAAAGAAAAAAAAACTTGATTCTGCAAATTTTCAAAATGTTGGAACCTATAAATGTAGGATCAAAAAAAATAGAATATAAGCATGAATCAATCAAACCTTATAGAACATCAAAGTGTCTAGAAGATCTCCAAGGCTTACATAATCATTGATCCGATCTCTTGCATTTTGAGCAATACATTCAGCAATCCAAGTCAAGCTTCGAATTTCTTGTTCCTTAAGCTACAGAAACCCAAAAAAAAGAATCAATTGAGAAATGATACATGAATCCAAAGTAACCCCCAAAAAACCAAACCTCACCTTGAAGAATGCATAAAAGACGCCATATTGAAATTGTTGTAAGAAAGCCAGTTTGTTGAGATGAACTTCTTTTTGAAAGAAATGATCTTCAAGAGCTTGAACCAAATCATCTGGACCGTTCGAATTAGCACCCGCTTCAAAAAAGTGTCGATACTCCGGAACATTATCGGTGATGGCTTTAACCGCTTCGACTTCATCTGCTCTAGCTAGTAAAAAGTTGCCTTCGGGATACAGTTTTCCAAGACGAGGAAAGAGTTTGAAACGTTGTTCTTTGGTTAGATGAGTTCCAAAAGAGTTGATGGTGATATTGATGGTCCGTCGATCAGCTTCGAAACCAAGGATTGCATCCATAACCGATCCAGTTGGGTCTCCTAATTTACTACAGAACCGATGAAAGTCCTCTAGGTAAGCTCGGTAGAGCGTGTTACGGATGATCTCGATATTCAGTTCGTCTAGATCATGTGCCGAGAGACAGTCTCTAAAATAAGGTGCTGTGGTTCGTCATACACGTCATGAATGATGAGGTTCTTGATTAGAGAAGAGACAGGTTCAAATTGCATGGAGTGATCGTACCTAGTGGAGTTTCAACCATCACGGAATTATAGAGTTCCTCCATGTTGGTAGCTACACAGAGTGCTGGCATCGTATCAAACACACCTAAGGGATGACATCGATCCAAGAGCTCATGTGTATCCCGCTCGTGTAAAGTACCGGTGATGAGGAGGATGACCTTGATGATGTAGATGATGACCATTGAAATAAGTATACATGATCTAATGAAAGGTAAATCATTAAACTTACGTTATCGATCATATAAGCATATCTAGAAAAAACCAAACCGAAAAAAACAAAACATCATCAGTATTGAAATCAAGAAAGAAAGAAAACCAAACGATTCACGTCATATAATCTAAAAAGGTCGAAAGAGGTTCAACAGCATTCGATCGAATATAATTAAACTCCGTCACCAATTTAGCCGTAGCTTTTTCAGCAATAGTTGAAGTTGAGATAGGAGGAGTTTCATTGGCCAAAAAGGTACCATAATCGGTAGCAGCTATTAAAGAACGATGAACAGCGAGTGAGTGATTGGATTCGATGGAAAAAGGAAGTTGAGAGAACAGGTCACTAACAGAGTTGCATTTTGAAATCTTCTAGACTATCACATTGTGTTAAGTTTTGATAATGAGTTTGGGTTAAGAGACCAGCTTTGAAACCTCTGATGATGCCTTCAAGGAAACCTGATGAATCATGTCGATAGGTTTAGTCAATGGTTTCTCAAATCTAAGAAAGAGATTCTTTACTTACCTGAATGAGAGTTGAAGAAAAGTGCTTCCATTGTTGGATGATTTTGATTTGGTTTCTTGGTTTGATTAGTTGTGTCCTTTCGATCTTATATGGTTTGGATGTTGATGGTCTGATGCTTGATGGTATGATGGTCTTCAGGTCGATGTGGTCTCAACTCCAAATGAATTTCCAACCTGAACAGAGATCGGTCCGACTCGTTCGAGCGGATCACTAATCTCCAATAAGGCCCCGTCGCCGAGTATCCTGTATTTCATTTTCCTTGCTTCAGAATCACAGTGTACAGTCGATTTCAGAAAGCTTGGAAACATTTGCCCGCCAAATTTGAGCAAATTGGCGCGGAATTCTTTCCAAGCTTTGTGCAATTGACTGTACACTCAAACTTGCTCAAGCCTCGGGCCTTTGGCGAGGGACTTTGATAAGTTTGGTGCACACTATCTGTTTTCATGCCAAAGAATTGCTTAAATATTCAGTTCATAAGTGTGTCTTGGGATTTCTTGGTTATTGCCCAGCTCATGATTTTTGCCATCCTCAGAGATATCATCCTTTGATGTGGAGGTCATATGTAAATCTTTGGGGGTTGCACAACTCAGGGGTCAAAAATTTAAAACATTAAGCAGTGATTCTCTCAGAGTGCTGTATGTCAGTGCAAAGGGACATAACTCAGAATGGGAGTAAGGACCATATCATTGGTTTCCAGTCTAGAAGATATGAGGATATTGCCACTGACCTTGGGTGTATTGGTGAACAAGTGACCAAGTTGAATGAAAGGCATAATTCTGGCAGAAATGCAGGGGAGACAATGTCTTTGAAGTGCTCTTCTGCGCCCCTCCAGACATCTGGGGATTCAACAGGTACCAAGCTTTTGTAACCTTGAGGCTCCCCAACAGACAGGGTGTCCTCTATGGTCACAGTTTATATACAAAATGATGTCTTCAAATATAGTGGGAGGCTTCACAATTCAAATCTTGCCATGTGAATTATATGTCCTGTGAGCCATACAAGCTCTATAGTTTGTATTGTTTTTACTGGTTGATACAATGATGTAGGTTATAATGATATTGCATTATTTTCATTGATACAACTATGAAGGATCTAATGAGATTTGCATTGTTTTCACTGGTTGATACAATCATGAATGATCTGAGATCAGTATTGAGAAGCTTAAATAACCAAATTCAACCTGTGTGTTTTTGGGCTTCAGACATGCCTCTGATGTTTTCATGACACAAAATCACCAAAACTCTATATTCAAAATCTTTATGAAACTTCCTTGAAAAATCCCAACATAATCTTTAATTTTTGGTCTAAAAATACTGAAAGAAATAACCAAAAAATAAATAGGTTTGAGTAATGAAGGTAGGTAGAATCTGATAAGAGGAATGAGAGTGAGAGGTTATGTTTTTTCAAAGAATTACAATTTCTTGGAAAAGATGTTAGGTTGAAGGACAAATGAAGATCAGGTTAATTTTTCAAACACGTTTCTGAAGCAAAAAATGTATATTTATGGGATAAAAACTAGAAACCCAGGGGTTTTTTGCCAGGTCCCAAGTTTCTAAACTTCATTTCAGAATCTGGGAAAGTCAGAAAAAACTTAAGAGCCCCAGTGATCAAGAAGTGCCTGGGGATTCAACCTTGAGAAAAACTGGGATTGGTCACCCAGATTCTGAGTTTTTCAAACACGGCCAAAAAGTCTGAGTTGGAAAACTTGGACTTTTTCCAGGTTTTTAGTTTGTATCCCATAATCATTCAAGATATGTATGTATGCTCAGTTTGTGCTTGTAACTGAAGACAAAAATAAACAACAAAATGAAGTGGAAGTACACTCAATATACCAAATGATATCACTCCAAAATTGAATTCATATGTTTGTGTTTAGTCTGTTAGGAAGATTGGACAAGTTTCTCTGAGGTTTTTTTGAAGTGTAAAGGCTACCAAGCTTGACTTGATACCCACACAATTGCTATCCAGCTGAAGTTGTTAATATGTGATGGGTTGTGCCTTCTTCTCTAGGTCATCAAGCTTTTCTTGAATATAGGAAAGGAGGAATTGAGTTGAGATCCTGGAGACATTGGGTTGGTAATCTGATATATTGTACCATGATGGGCTGCACCCAGGGATCTTCATGAAGAGATCAAACCATTTTGGTCTAAATGTCTTCATCCAACTCAAAATCACATGACAAATGAAGTGTTGTTGGCTTATAGTGAATAGATTGTGACTCATAGCCCTGGAAATCAAAGAATCTCTGATGGTATTGATTGAATCGGTCTCAGGATAAGCTCTAGCATAATTAGTTGTTTTAGCATAATCTTCCAATTTGATTGTTCTAAATGGAATGGTTTTCCAAATATTTTCTAACCACATGTATCCTTCATTTAATGTTTCACTCAAGTCTCCTCCATAAGGATCAAAGCTGAATTTGACCTTGATTAGCAACAAAAGGAATTCATGTGTCATAAGTGTTAATCTCATTCTCATGCATTTTTTGACTCCAGGATACCTTACACAAAGCTCCTCATCTGTTTTAAGGTATTCCTGAAGTTGTATCATGAAAGGTGTGACATATTTCTCAATTGTGAAATCAAATGATGATCTGACCTGATTCCTGTACATGCCTGTTTCTGTATGGGGTCTTTGTCTTTTACGAGTCTTCTTTTTTCTAGGCATCATATCAGGTACATCTTGAGTCGGTGCTTTGAAGTTATTCCTCCATTCCATTATATTCATGTTGAAATGTCTTTCCATTGGATAGATAGGCGTCTGAGCATAAAGGTTGGGAATGGGTAAATCTTTTGAGGAGACAACTTCCCCATCCATTCTACCATACAATCCATTGTTATTAGGGTAAAAAGTTTGATTTGGGGTCAAGGGTTTTGCAAGGCCCATTCCTAAGCCTCCCCCAATATTTAACTTCTTCCTTTTGTTATGTATGATCATGTCTTCAGTGTTGTAGTGAAGATCCCTGATTAGATTCTTCTGTTTACTAGATATTTGATGATCATATAATGCAGTGTGAGCTTCAAGGGGTGTCTTTGGTCCCTTGTCTTTCTTATTTCTCCAAGAATTATCAGGACCTACCCTGCTTTCTGGTTTGTAAAACATCTGGTTTTCATTGCTTTGTGGGATAAAACTTGAATTGGTTTCTTGATTTAACATGTCTTCTATAGCCAGGAGGTAGGCTACATCAAAATCTCTTTCCAAAAATTGTAGATTTCCATGTTCAGAGTTTTGGTGTGGATGTGGTTGGGATGCCATTCCCCTTGTATTGTGAGATTGGTGGTCCCAAAGAGTGTTAATTTTATCTAGGGGCTTGTCTGCATGACCTGATCTTGGTGTTGTATTTATTGGATCAATGAATTTGTCCTTGGCTAAGTGTGCATCTTCTGAACCTCCAAATACCATTGACACTCCAGTATGTGTGTCTGGGAACCAACCATCCTGTGGATTTGTCTGTGTGACTGGTTGGTATGGACTGAAACAATTTGTACCTCCAACTGTGTGATCTTGAAAGATGTCATGACTTGCATGATTGATGGACTGTTCCAGGACATTCAAATAAGCAGGGTATTTGAGTTCAGTAGGGATGTTGGGTAGGTTTATGGCAGGAATTGGGGTTTCCAAAGTATCTAAGTGACTTGATCTATGTATATCATCATTGCTGTTGATATTGATCCTACCCAAGTTTTTGTCTACCTGATTGAACTCTCCATCTTGGCTCATTGAGTCATCAAAGATATCAAAGTATGATATTGGAGAATAATTTGTTGAAACATTTCCCACATCACCACCAACCCAGCTCATTCCACCAATGTTTGGTGATAGTGTGGGATTTTTTCCAATGTCTGCGCTGTGAGATATAATTTCAGAAGCAGGATAAGGTGTTGGATGTCCAGAATGAGCTTTCAAAGTTTTGAGTTGAGGCGGAACATCTTTCAAATCTGTGACCATATCATTTTGGTGTAGTGGCTCTGCAGCATCTGTCATTGGTCCTTCTTTGAATGTTAAGAAATTCTCTGTATCCATGAAATCAAAGTCTCCAAGTTCCAATAAATTTGAAATCCACACATCATCTTGATCGTGCATAGGGTGAACCTGGTGAGGGAACCTCATATCTACATTCACTTCACCAGAAGTATCATCCAGCAGGACTGTGTTGGAAAATCAATACAGAATCAGTTGGATTTTAAAACTGAAGATGATATCAAGAAGCCATTTCTGACTTTCAAAGGCCTTACCTCCTTGTTCACTTCTATGCCCTGCAGTAGTTGATCCTTCAACAAGGGGGTGATGATCAAGATTTGTTGATGGTAAAAATCTGTCTTGATGTGCAAGTTCATGATAATTTGCAGATGAGAAAGGCCAATAACCTGATGTTATATCCTCTGTCCCATGATTATGATTTGACACCACATGAGAAACCTCTTTCATTCCAGGCTCCAAATCCTGTTCAATATTCTCACCATCTGTTAAACTTCTGGCTAGATCTTTGTGTGAAATGAATCCCCATACAACTTCAAGATCAGTACCTGATAGAATGAAGAAGATGTAGAACAGGATTAAGCTCTTGTTATGAAGCATTGTCACCTTAGCAAGATTACAGGGCCAGATGAGTCAAAAATATTGGGCTACAATTTTGATTGATATCAATGATATTTGTATCTTTTCACTGATTGATACAAGAATGGAGAATATGAGGGGGGTATTGATGAAACTATAAACCCAAATCAATTGTGTTATGGGCTGTGGACAGGCCTCTGATATTCTCATGACACAAAATCACCAAAGCTTAAGTGTATAAAACCTCCCGGAGACACAGGTACTGAAACAAGTCACCATAATATTGATTCTTTTGTGAGAAGGACCCGGAAACAAGTAAAACAGGTAGTAATTCTGGTAGTATTTCTGAGAAATTTAAAGGTAAGCAATTTCTGATGAGAGGATAAATGATGAGGTGTTAAGTTTTCAAAGACAAAGGTTTGTTGGAAAACCAACAGATGGCTATGGACAGAATACAAGCCCAAATGATGGTCAGGTTATTCTGCATTTGAATACACATTGTGTCATGTGGACAAGGTTTTGGTATCATTGATTCAAATGTAACACAATTGAAATTAGAATAAAGAACAGAAGCAAATGGAGATGGGATGAGGATAAAAATGCAGGTTACTCCAACATTGACTTCACATATTCAAAAATTTGGTGTCACAATCAGTGGATGTATATATGATCTATATCTATGTTATACAAAACAACAGGGATACCCAGGTCTGTCCAGTTGGATTTATCAAGATTTGTTTAATTTTGACTCCTTCTCTATTTCAGAAACCCTTTGATGAATGTAAGAAAGGAAAAATTGAATTGGGTAATAATTTTGTTTGTAAACCGGTGTGTACCAAATTGTACAGTTGGATTTTAACAGAAATATATCAAACCATTTTGGTCTAAATTTTTGTATCCAATGCATTATTATATGAGCAATAAAGTGATGTTGGTCCAGAACAAATAGATTGCTACTACTAAGCTTAGAAATTAAAGAATTCTTGATGGTCTCAGTGCTGCGAGAAGTTCCAGTATGCTTGATTGCTTTAGGATACCTTTCCAACTGAATTTTTTCAAGTGGGATAGTTTTCCAAATCTTTAGTAACCACTGATATCCTTCCGCTAGAGTTTCACTTACTTCCTCACCCTCAGGATCATAAATCAACTTGACCTTCACTAAGAATAAAAGGAATTCATGTGTGAGAAAACTCAGTCTCATTTTCAAACGTGCTTTGAAAATAGATCTCCTGTTACAACCATCTATCTCTGTTTGAAGGAAATCCTCAAGCTGTGTCATGACAGGGGTGACATACTTCTCAATTGTGTTATCAAAGGATGATCTGAACTGGTTCTTGTACATACATGTTTCATCCTGGGGTGTGATTTTTTTATCAGGCTTCTTTCTTTGGGGCAGATCATCAGGTACAACTTGAATATTCCCTTTTCCTGCACCATTGTGTGTTAAGTTAACAGTATCCTTGGAATTGCCTATATGTCCAAAGGAATTTGAATTATGATGTGGTTTATTTGGAATGTGAGTGATACAATTATATATTATGGGCAATATTAATCTTTTTGTGGTATAAGCTTCATTATGATTGGAGTAACCAGATTGATGAGTATTTGAATTTGTTACATGGCTGATGGACAATCCTGCCCCACTGTGAAATTTCCTCCTCTTATTCTGTATGGTCATATCTTCAATGTGGGAGTGCATCTTCCTACTTATATCATCCTGTTTCATAGGTGTTTGGGATCCATCTAGCTCCTTGTGATAATTGAAAGATGATTGCAAATATTCACCTTGGTCTTTCCATGAAATTTCAAAAGCTTTATTGCTGCCTGGTATGTCAAGTGATTGAGTTTGAATGCCTTGTGGAACAAAGTTTGAAACCCTTCCTCCATTCATCAAGTGATCTAGATCCGGACCTTCACACAACTCTCTTCCAAGAAACTGTAGATTGTCTTTTTCTGAGTTGTGCTCTAGATATGGTAAGGAGTTTGATCCCATTGCATCATAAATATGGTGATCCAGAAGGTTGGATAAATCATCTATGGGCTGGCCTGTATGATCTGATCTTGGTGTATCATGCTCTAAATTAACAAAATTATCCTTTGCTGAGTGTGCATTTCGTGTATCTTCAACTATCTTTGAAACCCCAGGATGCGCTTCCACAGGCAGGACACTTGGAGAGTTTGACTTTGAGGTGTGTCTGTCTGGACTATTGTACCAATTATTTGACAGATCTGACTGTGTGTGTGGTTGGTATGAACTGAAGCAGTTTGTACCTTGAGATATTTGATCTGGAACAAAGTCAAGACTTCTGTGGTTGTGAAGATCTTCTGGTGTATTGAGATTTGAAGGATGTTTAAGTTCAACAAAGCTGTTGGGTAAGGGTATAGAAGGGTTTGTGTTTTTCATGATGCTCAAGCTTCTTGAGCTATTAATTTCACTATTTCTGTTGATACCAATACTTCCTGATGTTCCCTCTGCCTGATTTATTCCTTGACCTTGGTTCATAAAATGATCATGTATTCCAAAGTCTGATATTGGAAAATCATCTGTTGACAATTCATCAACCCTCCCCATTTCATGTGTGTTTGGTGATGCTTTGGAATCTACTCCCATCTCTGGACCATGAGGTATCATCTCAGAGGTGCAAGGAGCTTGATGGTTGGCATGAGCTGGTGACATTTGGAGATTAGGAACATACTGAATATCTTGAATTATATCATTTGTGTGTATTGTTTTTAGGACATCTTCAACCATTCCTCCTGGGAGTGGTAAGAGATCTAGATGATTTATGTAATCAAGGTCTCCCAAAAAATTTGAAATCCATACATCCCCTTCACTGTACATCCCCTTGTCTTTGCCTTGCTTGTTGAAACTCCCATGGTGATTCTGGTAAGGAGATGTGATATCCTGATGCACCTCTGGAGAAGTATCAGTTAGAAAGTCTGTGGTGTGATCAACATCACATGTAAGTTGGATTTTAAAAGGGAAAATGAGATCAAAAAGTCATTCCAGTATTTCAGAAGCCTTACCTTTTTGTTCACTTCCATCAACTAAGTCTTCCAATCCTTCAATAGAGGAACAATCATCAATATCCAAAACAAATCTTGATTTAAAAATACAACAGATGCAAATCACCTGATTGGACATTATAATGACCTTCTTCTATTTCATCATTATGATTTGACACCTCTTGAGCAATATGTGTGGTTTTGGGTTTCAAATATTGATAATTCTGCTCACCATTCCATAAACTTTGTGCTAGATCTTCTCTGGGAAGATATGCCCAGACAAATTCTTGGCTGGGGTATAACAGAACCAACAATAAATAAAAGAGGCTGACACTCTTCATACAAAACATTTCTGCCTGACCAAGATCACAAGAACAGATGAGTAGAGGAGACTATGATTTTCAATATTATGTAAAAGATAAGGTGGGCAGTGAATACCTGACATACTCAAATTGACCGAGGTATCTAGATTATTGGACTTCAAACATGCCTCAGATCTCTGGTGGCACACCCGTATTGAAAACTGATCTTCAAAATGTTTCATATGAGACTTCCATGAGACATGTTACCATGAAATTGAAATCTTGGCCAAAAAATATGTAACACCAAATCATGTGGCAAATCTTTGGTTCATGGCCTCGTTGTATATTGGTAATCTTTCAACATCCTAATCCCTACCAATCTTTGAACCTTTGGCTTGATAAGCTCAGTTTCATATCAAGGTTTTGAACTCCCAGCACAGGACTGGATTGCTGTTTACTAGCAGTTTAGGACATCTGGCTACATCAGAGTTGTCTAAGAGTTTTCTCAGAGAGATATTGAACTCATTCATATTTTTTTAATTCGGTTGTCTCGGGTGTTTACTTCTGAACTAATCAGAAGCAAACAGAAGAGTACAATGAGTGTTTGAAAGCAGTTAAATGACTCATAAAGATGGTTTTTTTGTCATCAACATGGTGAGGGTACAAGAAATCAGTTGACTTCATGGCCCAGACCTGGCCTCAGGCTCCTTGCAGGCTGAGCAGGGCCAGGGCCGGGTCAGCCTCAGAGTCTCGTGACTCCGTGAGAGTCCAAAGCGCGAGTAATTTTGGTTCACACAGAGGCCACCACCAATGCTACCTCATCAACTCAACGCGATCAATCCTCTGAGGGAACACTTCACCATCGATACTCAACGAGATAGAAAACACTCATCGATCGGCTACAATTCAAATCATATTCGTGACTGTCGACCTGATATCTCGATAATTCGAAGTAAAGAGAACTGTTGAAAAATCATATACCATTGAAAAGAAAATGGCAAAAGATGATGAAACTGAATTGGAACTTATCAAAAGAAAACCTTTGAATGAGAATCAAGGAAATCATGAGGAAACAACATCAGAACAAGAATCAGACCCGGGAGTAGAATCATATTCAGAATCAGAATCGGAATCAGAATCAGATATAAATGATAATCAATCACGCTTAATCAACACTTCAAATCAAAACCCCATCAAACCTCGAACGTATCTGATCCTATCTACAATCTCAATAATTTTCATTCTATTTATCTTTTCTATCGCACCCCATTTTTCAATCGAATCAATTTCAAAAACCACTTTAAAACAAATCAAACCGATCGGACCACCTGGTAGTATTACATCTAATACTGAACATTGGGCAAGTCAAGGTGGAACTTGGAATAATGTAGATTTAGATGAAAAGTTCAAAGAATCGGATAAATTAGCAAGTTTATCAAATTCAACCCATCATTTTAAAAAAACTTTGATCGTGGTCTCTTTAGATGGATTTAGGTAAGTTTTACATCTTTGTTTCTTTGGATTCTTTTATCGCTATGAGTAGTTTACTGACTTGAAGTTAACACAAATGATGTCAGGTTGGATTATTTGGATCGGAACTTAACTTCTAATTTAATTTCATTAACCGAAAAAGGTGGATTAAGAGCCAAAGGTTTAAAACCACAATGTAAGTTGATTTGATCATTAAAAAATTGTTCAAAATGTATGAACTGATGAGTTTGATGATTTGTTTAGTTCCTTCTTTAACATTTCCAAATCATTGGTCAATGTTAACCGGTCTTTACCCTGAATCTCATGGAATCGTTTCTAATAATTTTTACGATCCAAACTTGGATTTAAATTTCACCAATACGAATCCTTCAATAAGTTGGGATTCTTATTGGTGGGGTGGTGAACCAGTTTGTGATTTTGATTTGTTTTCATCACATCCGATTAATACAAAAGAAAAAAAAACATCACTTTGTAACCAAAAAAACGCTCACACTTTGTTCTTTTTTCTTTTTCTTTTTTAGATTTGGTCAACTGCTTCAAAGAATCAAATGAAAACTGCTGTAATGATGTGGCCAGGTCCTCCTTATACATCTGAAAAGATTAGACCTACTTACTGGAGAGCTTTTCAAGAACATTTCAAATGGTCAAAACGTATTCAACTCTTAGAAAGTTGGTTAGGTTCGTCATTTTCCATTTCTTTCAACCGAAAAACAAAAATTCAAATCCTTTATATAAAATTGATTTTTTTTGGCGGGTGGGGGGTGAAACTTTTTTTTTAAAAAAGAATAGATATGCCAATTCATGAAAGACCTGAATTGATTTTTATCTATCTACCAGATTTAGATGAAGTAGGACATCGAAATGGAGCTGAGAGTTCTCAATTAAATCAAACATTAATTCAAATGAATCATTTTGTCAACCGTTTAGATCAATCACTTTCGAATCGGAATTTATCTGAGATTGTGGATGTGGTTTATGTTAGTGATCATGGAATGAGTTCTTCTGATGATCATCGTTTGATTTATTTAGATCAAATCTTGGGTTCTAAACATTTTTCAAATTTGATTGGAATTGATGGTACGATCACTTTTTTTTAATACTTTTAAAACTTGATATCAAACAAGATCAACAATCTAATGTTTTTTTTTGCATTCTTACATTTGATTAGGTTGGCCAGCTGCTGGATTAAGGTTTAAAGAAGGATACGATCTAGAATCAGTTTTAAAACAACTAGATAAATCGTCCCAACATTCCGAATCATTCAAAGTTTACACACACGAGACTATGCCTGACCGTTGGCATTTTGTAAGTTGATCTTCACCAATCTCAACCACAAATTCTACCCAAGAAGGATAATCTCTAATCCTTATCTTGTTTTTTAGTCTAATAACCAAAGGATTGCTCCGATTTACATTGTACCTAGTTTAGGTTGGGTAGTTACAACAACTCAAGAACATAAAGTTGAAATGAAAGGTCATTTTAGAACCAAAGTAACTTCTTCGTCCTTTTTTTTTAAAAACCTTGAGAAAGAAACTAACTAATGTATTCTTTGTAATAGGGAATTCATGGGTATGATAATGATTTAGAAGAAATGCAAGGGATTTTCTTTGCTTATGGTCCTTCTTTTCGAAAAAAATCAATCAAATCCAATCTAATCGACAGGTTTTCTAATTTAGAAATTTATAGTTTAATTATCAAACTATTGAATATTACTGATCATTTACCTAAACAAAATTCTACTTTAAATTTTTGGGATCAGTATCTTTGATAGAGTTGAACAAAACAGACCAAACCTCCTGGAATCATTTATGTCGTTTTTTTTCTTTCTTTCTTTGCTTGATTGATTGTATTTTATACACTTGTATTTTCAATGCATAGATATTTTTTTCTAGATTTCTCTTCGTTGCAAGACTTCAAAATTCATGAGATCAATGAATCTCAATCAAAGTGTTTTGAAATGAAATTGCTTCATTGAAGTTCTATTTATACATAATATAATCTATATCAAGCTCATGACCAACGCTTTTCATCATTTCTATTAGAACATTTCCATTCAATTCTTATACTAATTATAATAAGTAACATTCCAATTCTATGATGGAAAAAGACTCTAAATATATAACATCTAATGATGAGTAGAAAAAGAATCATGAACAAGATTGATAAGTGATGCTGCACTGATTACCTAGCCATCATCTATGACAACACATCAAGCCCGGCATTCAACCTTTCCATCTATCATGGCGATCGCTGCACCAAGTGCCCTATCAAAAGCAAACGGAATTAAGGAGAGGTTTCAAGTTTTGAGTATAAGGGGTCTGACATAGAAATCTAAACTTCAGTAGAGTAAAAAGAAACACTAACCATCCCAATTCTACACCATCAATCTTTTTACTAATCTATAATGATAAAAAAACGCGAGACCAAAGTGCGTTCAATATCTTTCCTTGATCCTTTAAAGATAAAAAAGAAGAAAATACTAGCTCACCACAATCTCACGATCATCTTTAACTTCATATCCAAAACTTAAAAGAGAATACATAAAACTCAAATCTAAACAATATTCAGGTCGATCTTCAAGTTCTTTGATGGCTTCTTCTTCATTAGCGGGTTTGAATTCATTTAATACAATCCATTTTCCATTGGATTGTTTACCTTTACAAACACTTTCTGCTAATTGTTTTAATTGATGTAACTTAAATGGAGATTTCAAACCTAAAGGTTCAATTCTATCATAAAAATATGATAATCTAAAGTTCCTTATATAATATCAGTTTGAATTCTTTTGATGTAAAAAGCTTCTTAGAAGGAACACAAAAGGTTGACTTACGCATAAATAGGTCCGGTTTTAAAACTATCTTCTAATCGAGGTTGATAAACTCCTCCAAAAGCACAAGGTTTCAACTTACAAGTTTCATCCTTATCCATGACTATTTCCACTAACCTTCTACAGGCATTAAATCCTGCTCCAGTACCTACGATTTCGATTAATTGATCGGGTTCTAATTCCACTTTTTTTCTACCATCTTTCACTAAACAAGGACTGAAGATTTCTAAAACTTGATCACTCGAATGTTTTGAATGTTGTGATCTCCAACGTTGATTAAATGCAACTAAGTTATGAATCGATCTACGTGCTTCCATTAATCCATAACCTAAATGAGAATGTTGATAAAGTGCATGATTTCTTCCACCGAATTTTAAATCATAAACATGATCTCCTGGTTCTAAGATAGCTTGTTTGTCTACTTGAAGTGGTTCAAAAACGATTTGAGTAGATGCTCCTCCTAGATCTAGGACAGCTGCAGTGCTAGTGTCAAGGTTTTTCTGAACTGTCGTTTGAGGTCCAATTCGTTTCAATAGCTATCCAAGTGATCGAACCAAAAAGATAAGTAAAAGATTGGTTGAAAAATCATATTTGGATCGATAAAGAGAGTGTAAACGTACATAATTGATAGTCACCCAAGCATAAACACCTTCAGCAGAACCATCCATAATACTAACCGCATCTTTAGCCACACTAAATGGCCACTCATCTCTCAAATACCTTTCCACTTCATTTATAATAGCAGAACTTTGAGCTTCACCTAATAATCTTAAACCAGCAGTAGCACGAACCGAAAGAGGTGTACAAGCTCTATCTTTTTCTGGTACGCTTTTGATGGCTTCATCTAACAAGACTTTTAAAGATCGAGCGGCTTGTTTAGGTGATCTAGCAAATGAAGAAAGTCCAGGTTGAGTTTTGATAAACTTTTCATCTATCAATCTAGGTAATGAATTAGATTGATCTGAAGTTGGTAAACATCTTGAGAAACGATAAACATGAATTCTTGAACCTGTTGAACCTGCATCGATCATTAGAGCGAATTGTTCATTAGATTTACCTGGTGGTGCGATACAAACTGGATGTTTTGAAGTGGAAAGTAATGAATCTGAAGTTTGAAATTCTTGATTAATGTTTTGATTTGAAGATCGATTTGGATAATAAATAAAAAAGATTATCATCATCGGTATTGTTAAAAGTAAGAATGTTTTACGAAAAGTGAATGGGATGATATGTCTTCTGATGAAAGCCATGATTGAATTTGATTGAGATGGATCTGAATTGATAAAGAGAGGAGCATAGAGATGAGGTAGGTTTTGATTTAAAGTTGAAGTTGGTAATGAAGTTGAACCAGAAGATCTTGAGGATGCTGATGAACTTCTTGAATTGTGTTGATGATGAGTTGTTGAGGCTGAAGTGGGTTTTGACATGTTTTTGTAAAATGGGTTCAGGGAAAAGCCATTGAGAATGACCCAAACCACTTTAAATCGGAAGTTAGGTGAAGTTAGGTGATGTCATCACATTCACTCTGTCCATGTCAAGAAACATTTCACAACTCAAAATTCAATCAACTTGTTCCTCAGCCTCACAATCCCAGTATGGATGCAGCAAAGAAAATGATGAGCCAACGGGACCTTCAGACATCCCCCTATTGTAGAAGAGAATAGGTTCAACTTAGAGTATACTGTATGGTGGCCTCCTTGTTTCCCTCATGAGCCACATCTTTTGAATCCCAGGCTGCAGTGATACTCATCAAGTCTCTCAAGATTATATATGCACCTGGCTGATGAGGACCTGATACATTGCCTGGATATAAACTCAAATCATCCAAAGAATATAATATGATATACTTGATCTTGGATTAACTTCACTCACATCCAGATACAAATTTACCATCATTTGTCTACATTGGTATATCCAAAAATCAACGTGTCAAAAGCGTTTGATTGGAGAGAGTGAGAGACCAAGTTAACCCACAACAGTAAATCAAGAATGTTTTGAAGATAAAGAGTTGGATTTTTAGTGTTGTCAAGTTTCTATATTTGCATAGTGATACTACAATCGAATGATATCCTAACAATTCCATAACTAGACCAAGTATGTACTTGATCTGATCCAAAGTATAAACATACCAAACATACCCGTCTTACTGAGCCTGGAGTGCCCGATTCTAAGGAGTTAAACAAATCTGAATTCTATGAGACGCGCGCATGCCCTTCTGCCAGCTACATTAATAAATATACTGGTCCGAATCTAAGACATTTCTTCTATCACATCTAGTTTCGAAGGCCTTTAGCAATTAAATGCTCAAGCTTGGTGCGATATCCAAAGCTTCTGATCCAAGACGTTCTACAGCTCGATCAACTTCATCTGCCCACTTGATCGACTTGATGATTGTGAACTCAGTAATCCCTACGAGGAATAAAGCGACGCACTTTGTTTTTTTTGTGAATAGATCAATCTGATCAGTTACTGGTGAAACACGATAGCCTCAATCACACAGGCTATGTCTGTGTGATTACACAGGATATTTCTGTGTGATTTGTGAGTCGATTATAAGACGTACCTGTCCAAGCCATAATCCTGGAAGACCCATCGATGCCCAGAAGGCAAGAGCTATACCAAGTGGTAGAGCTATAAGATAATATGCTATAATATTCACAATTGCTCCAACGTGTTGCAAGCCAACTCCTCGCAATGTTCCTATAGAAGTTGGGAAACACATGAACGTCAATATCACACCACCTGAATTAATGAACTTATCAAAGACGTCTAATGTTTCTTACCACCACATGATTGAGCCCATCCATCAGCAATCTGGAATGCAGCCACATATGGCAATACATCAGTCACCAATCTAATCACTTCATCATCCTTAGTGAAAAACGACCCAAATCTGTTCCGGTTTGACATTAATAGGATCGTCACCGAGCCTCCAACGAGAGTAGCAAGAAAAACAGCAGCTGATCCAGCGCAACGGGCTCTATTAGGTTGACGAGCACCGAGAAGATGACCGATCCTTGCGGAAGCTGATACGCCCACCCCAAACGGAAGTGTTGCAGAAATTTGATCTAGGGTCATAATCACCGACTGAGCCTCTATGGCCTTTACTGAAACCTTTCCAGCAAGCAGAGCGACGATTTCAAATGCCCTGATTATGTAAAAAGTCTAAGTTTAGATCTCTCAAACAGCTAAAGGTATGAGATGATTATGATCAAAGCCTACCACCATTCCGTACCCACCATCACAAAACCGGAGATCGAGAGCTTGAACATAGGCCACAACGATTTAAAGCATTGGCGTGACCAACCTCCCCAGGCTTTTCCGCCTCCCATGGTCTTTCCAAGAACTAGCCAATTTGTCAAGTCGGCGTATGAGGAGTGAGCTTACATGAATTTGCGGAAGGTTGATAACTTACCACATATCATCAAAAATGCAAGCCAGTATGTGATCATCGTCCCCAACGCAGCGCCACGAAACCCCAATTCGAGCTTAGAAATACAAAACCAATTCAAGAAGACGTTGATTGGAGAAACCACAACTAGCACAATGGTCGAAGCGTGCATGATACCTGTTGTCAACCAAGAACCTTCATTTCAATTCATAAAAAAGCCACAGGTAAGACTTTGAGGTGAAGAAAGTTTTGTACATGCGGACCTTGAACTTGAAGAAACTTTTTAACAGCTCTTGTGTAATAAAAACATCGAAAGAAGTCAGGCCCACCATATCCTTCCGTACGTAGTCACAAAAACACAAGAAGCTTAGGTGGTCGAGTATTGTAATTATTCATGGTATGATCCAGGAAAGGTGAAGACAAGATATTGTAACTTACTCGAACCATATATAGGGCAGCATTCCAAAGGAAAGTATCTTCATGAATGCTTCAGTGTCTTGTGAAAGCTTGGGGTCTTGACCAAGGGCTAGGAGGATAGTTTCCATGAACCACCAACTGACGCCAAAGGGCAAATAGATGATCGTCCTGTGACATACCAGCACGGATTGACATCGCACATATCAGCACATTGGAAATTTACGATCCTGATGTCAAATGATTCTTGAGCGTCTAGCACTTCCAATAACATGAGATGTAGAACTATTGGTTTTGCAGTTTTACCTTGAAAGCTATGAGATTGCTCAAATTTGACAGTTGTACGTGGGGGTGAAGAGGTGCTTACAGACTCAGCATAGCACGTTGCAATAAAATTCCCACCTGATGTATATCATGAGAGGCGGTGAAGGAGGTAGAGGCCATTGTGTCCAATGCCGTCGTCCCGCCGAAAGCAATACAGCCCGCCGTGACCATGATCCACATGTAACTGTGCTCGAAAGAATATCCGCTCAGCCTCAGCTCATCAATTTTTAGGACGTCTGTACAAAATCAAGCGTCAACTCACGAAATAGCTGCGACGCTGAGAGCCTCTTGACCAGCTAAGCGACCACAAAGAAATATACTCGAAGTTTGTAGGCTGTTCTGAACCAAGTATGTCAATGAAATCGGTACCGCATTTTTGAAGGTCACCCAGACTTCTGTCAAAAATTTCGATCGGCTAGCCTGGCTTGAAGAGGTAGAGGAAGGTCGTGAGGCCAAGTGCGAGCTCAGCAGAGGGGTCGATTCGGAATTGTTGCGATCTTGTATATCCATTTGTTTCTTCCGCTGAGAAGACTGTTGACTTTCTTTGAAGTTGAACGGAAATCTAACCAGTGATCGTTGAAAAGGTACGTGACCATCAAGGCATCGCCGCATACAATGACCCCGGTCCGTCTAGTCTGCACACTGACACGGGTCAACAAGACTTCGGTGAAGCTCATCAGGAGAGCTCAGCAGCGTGATACCGTTTCGCTGGATCTTATCATTGAAGTGAACGATTGCGATCTCGGTGAAGCTTCAAGGAGGTGAATAAGAAACCCAAGGATGTCGTCCAGCTTCAAGAAATCGAAATGAGTTGTCCCAAGCTTGTGGACACAAGTTTCGCAAACTTCAACAAAACAACCAGATGGAAGATTGATCAAGTAAAACTCAAGCAACCAAGTCCAATATGTTCAACAACACTTCTCGAGATCCTTGTCTGCTGAGATTCGTTGCTAAGCAAGTTCGACTCTCCCTTTTTAAACTTTTAAGAACCCGACGGACTTTGTTTTTTAAAACATATCAACAATCCTCGAATTATTATATTCCCATATTTTATTGTATTTTATCCTTCCATTTTCATCTCATATCACAAATTAGTCAAAGTCCAGAGACTTCCGCCGCACCAGGTGCTCAGCTCCGTCATATCTTGAATTTTTTTCTTTTAACAAACTTATCATCACATCTTCCGACATTCGACTCTATCTTATTTAAGTTGCTTCTTCCTAGGGCCACAGATGGTGGGCTAGTTCAACTTCGTCAATCTTTCAAGCAAAACCAATAAATCAACATCCTAAAACTGCACTTTCAGTTCTTTGATCTCACAAAAAAACAAATTTATAATCAAAATATCAACTGCGTAGGCGAATCATCAAACGGCGAGACACACGTGAAGATACTCCTTGCTTGAAGGTGTTTTGTCTTGCCAATCAAAGTAGCCCCGGCAATGTCACCTGCTGCACAAAATTCAAGCCTGAAGCCAAGTACCCCAGTCACTTCCACAGCACCCAATTTCACAGAGGAAGTGAGATCAGAAAAAGGTGTACCGATAAGCAAATTGTTATTCACATTTTTCTCTCTTCTGGGTATGTTGATTTGATCTTCTATGACAGATATGCAAAAACTGGATTTCTGTCTTTCTTTTTGCTCATTGAATTTGTACAAGATGACCGAGTAAACTAACATGTATAAACTTTTCCAGCACTCATTTCCTTTATCGGTCTTCTATGTATCATCTTCATCAGATCTCGGTGCACGAAGCGATGGAAAAGAAAAGGACGCAAGAGCTCTGTATCATTAGAGCAGGCAGAGTCTGGATATGACGCTAGTGCTATGGATCAAGAGGCCGGTAAAGTTAAACCGAAAAAGAGGAGGGCTTCCAAACAAGCTGGTGAAGCTCATGTGGCAAAACTCTCAAAGTCCAAACAAAAAGGTGGAATCATCTCAGATCAACAAGAGGGAAGTTCCAACTTTCAACATCGATTGGATACATCCCAAGACTTTACAAATGTATTTGGTGACATAGAACCTAGTCCAATCTTGACACCACTGAAGCCTTTGCGCTTCAGCGCCTTCGTAGTCAAGCTTCCTTCGATTTACGAGGGGAAAAATCCAAGATCGGACTCTACCAACGCAGTTGTCCGGGAAGACATCCCAAGCGCAAGTTATTCTGTTTCACCGGTTCAATCAGTTCACAAAACAGTTTCCAAACCGGCAAAAGCTCGACAAAGTAAAGGAATCCTCAAGCGCGCCGATGAGGATCCTGATGGATATCATGTTGAACACTTCCCCACACATCTACGTACAGAGTTAAGACTAGAGAGTCCAAACAAACTGCACCAGACTCCTTCTCCCGGCTACGAGAGCCCATATTTTCAAGAGACATATCAGAAACAAGAAGTTCAAGGTCCGGTCCCGAAGACCTCAAATATGAAACTAGGTTTCAACTTCAAGAAGTTGATGAAGCTGATATCTGGGAAACCAAAGCAAGATGATCAAGACACAGATTCAGATGATGCTGTTGAAAACACCAAAACTCATGACCTCAAAAGTGATGCTTTGAAATCTCTTGAAAATTCAAAAGGAAAAGTTTCTACGGTACAAAAAGTTGATGTATGGGCAAAAAGAATTGAACCAGCTGAAGAGTCAGAGAATAGTTACTTTGAAGGATCAACAAGAGCAACCAACAGTTCCTGGACAAATGAAGAATATAGCTCTACGGACGCATCCATTCAAATACAAGGAAATGAAGAAGAGTTTAACTTAGAGAGACTTACTTCACAAAGATCAAGAAGATCACATACTTGTTCGGATTCCACATCAAAGGCCTCTCTGACCCAGATCCCTGTGAATCCATCACGCAGATCAAAGAAAAAAACTTATAAGAGGAAAAAGGACACCACTTCACAGCAGAATGCAGCCAAGCCTTTGGGAAGCTTCAAAGAAGAAATGATACCTCAAGATTCTCAAGTCACCTTATCAAAACACTCCAATTCAGGGGTTTTCAGACTAAGTTACAATTTAGCCAATGGCGAAAGAAATCAGCATACAAATGATTCAGATAATTCATCTAATAGTCAACCAATTTGTATCATAGAAGTCAATGAACCAGAAAGAATGTCGAAAAAAATTACCAGCCAATTACCAAGAATCAATGCATGGGATTTAGCAAAAGATCCTAATGTATTATATGCAGCCGACAAATCACCACTTCTAACAGAGAGTCCCAAACAGCTTTCACCCAAAAAATCGCTAAGTCCATTATTTGCTGCTATAGGACCTTTACCCTCGCCACAACATCAAAAGTCACCAGTAAATGTTCTTTAAGAAGACAGAGAAAAACTATAATTCTACAAGAATTGCAGAATCTCGTTTTGACACATCGAGAATCTATTCTGATCAGACTCTTACAACTGGTTGTTAGTGTTTAAGGGCATTTTGGACTAGTTCCACTTATTGAATCACTTAACCAATTCCACTTGTCTACTTTTATTATCTTGTATGACACAAGTTGCTTTTTTCTTCCAAACTCTAGATGAAGATATAACTTTTACATGCTTGCATACATCTCTTTTCAATATTCCTGTCATTGGTGTATTTTTCTTTTCTTTTTTGTTTTTGGACAAAATCAACTTGTATTTAACATGAAATCATATCACTCAACTGTGATTGCTATTAGATTACTCTTGAGGACCAGCTCAGGATTTGAGTTGCCTGGAAGGTATCACCACGCGCACTTCTGGTAATGATCACCTTTAGAGATTTAATCAAAGAAGTTCTAGGAAGTGAGTAAGTCACTTGCTCAAATATCTTCCAGTAACATGACAACAAAACACAATCTAGGTCTAGTGAAAAATTAAATTACAAAACAGACAGAGAAGAACGATCTTATTGATTTAGCAAAATCAAATGATGAATCATGAAGTTTCATGATGATGTAAACAAAACATGAAAACTGCAATGCTTTAGACTGCTTCAAAGTCGAGAACCAGAATTACGAGTTAGCAAGCGTTAAAAACGCTAGAACAAAGACACGTGGGATTTGGCATGTGTGGCGATCGGATAGCCTTCAGGTAAGCAAGAAAATCGACAGTTCTCTTCTTCCGTCGGACTTCTGATGTAGAGATAGACAAACTGAGTTACTCTGACGAAGAATCAATTCGATATTCAAATGGCTTCCCAAACCAGCTAAATGTCGGCCAAACCTAAAAGTTACGTTTACAGAGTAAAAAGATCGAGAAATTAATAAACACATCGATGGTGACACACAGGGAACTTAATCACACTCACTCGTGCCAATATCCGACCTTGAACGAGAGCAAGTGGTACAGGCCCATATACACGAGAATCAACACTGACAGTTTGATTATCGCCTTCTAACCAAAGATGACCGGGTGGAATATCAAGTGGGATCCCATGAAGTAGAATCCGATCACCAGGTAAACCGATCACTCTTTTACATGCCAAAACCTTTGGGTTCATAGGTGAGATAAAGTTGACTAATTGACCTCGATCAATATTATTCGAAAGTGACTTTTTAGACAAAGGTCGTTGTAGAAGTAAATCACCAGTGGCATTGAGAGTAGGGAGCATAGAAGCACCTTCACACTAACGATACGAGTAGGCTGGTCAGATTAACCTGTCTTCGATGTCGAGATAAATTCATCAAGCGTTCTAGACCGCGCCAAGTTTGATAGCCGCGACTGAGTTCGGCGAACAATGTGATGACGACTAGATGGTAGGTTACTTACCCATCTAAGGTCAGCTACATTGTCGTGAAATAACATCAATCCTGCAGTAATCTGGGTCCCACGCCTAGAAATACCATAGAAATCCAATATCAGATGATGTGTAGATTTTGACGAACGAATAAAAGAATTGTTACTGACTTGATAAAATGCCAAAGTCTACTTGACGACATTGGGAGAAAGTCAATTTGCTTGAGGAGAATTCGGTCGATTTTGGGATATGCTGCTTGAGCTATGGGTTTGATTCAGTACATAGGGGTGAATATGTCACTTATCCTATTCGGCAATAGTTCCTGATACCCGATCCTACCCTAACCCTCACCCACTTTGGGTGGCTCATATATAAAAGGCTCGCTTTGAGAGAGGGGTTCGTCCCATCTCCAACCGGCGTTAATGAAGTTCAATGAGAATGCAAGTACCCTTCAAGTCATTCGATTCCAAGTAATCCAACATCGCATTTCTTTCTTTCCCGTTTGACCACACTCCAGTCATTTGAAATCCTCTGTGAAACATTTCAATCACAACACCCATGCGTATGTCACCCTGCAATTTAGAGAGTTATTTCCACTCCCCAATCCGAGGATATAACTACCGCACCGATGCTTGTCTTGTAGTTTCAGACCTACAAAACACTTCACATCAGCTGTGGCTTTAAGTCCTCGGTAAATCAACGATTCTTTTACCGTGTATAATCCGTCAATTGCGTCTTGAAACTCAGTTTTTCTGGTTTGCTAATCAGACGTGAGTGCATCACGGGGAGGGAGACATGTATATTCAAGCCTTTGTATCTCTCTTGGCCTGCTTGTAGATAATATGCATTGTATAATATTTCTTACTTCAGTGATCACCAACTGGCCTGGCTCACGGTAAAGTCGTATCATCCGGTCAATGAGCAGACCGTTATCAATGTGTACATAATACTCGGGTCAAAAACAGTGATCTGATCACCCGATGGATGTGGGAAAGAGTCAAGCTTGTCTCAAGGGAAAACAATCATTTGATCTTATGAGGAAAGATGTGTTGAGAGAAGATATTTGAGCTCTAGTAGTCGCCGTTAGCAGCAGCAGCAGGCCCGTCAACCGTTGATGCTTCCAGTCGATCAGCGTCCTGAAGCTCGCCTCCAGCTGCCTTAGCAATATCTGACATGAGTTTTTGTGCCGAGAAAGCTGAACGTATATCGAGGGCTGATCCACTCTGAGACGGCGGATTTTGTGGGCAAGCCTCCTTGAAGATATCAGTAATGAATTTTGCAATGCCTTTTTCACCAAACTCAATCTCGGCTCTAGCTCCCCAACGCCATTCTTGTTTTTGATTGTTGGACTCATTTCGAACTCCTTGTGATTGTCGACGACTTGCACCTGCTTGACTACCAGCAAGTTTTCCGCTTGGATCTGAACATTCAAGATACTTGTACTTGACAAAATGGTCAAGTAGACGATCAAGATCCGGTTGAGGATGCATGCAGGCGGGTGTATGAGGAGGTGACCATTGCTCATCGACCCGTAGACGTTTGAGGTAGTTTCGAAGTTCATCTAATAGATCGAAGATAATATAACGAATCAACACATCATAGTATTCTCAGCAATTAGGACAGAAAATGAAGGGAAGAAGTCAATTTATCCACGTACTATTGTCCATGGTTCGACCATGAGTAAGAATTAAGGCCAAGATCAAACCAAGAACACCGTGATAAGCCACTTCATCCCCTCGCTTCCAATCTAATACATCGTTTTCTTCTTGTAACCAGCGGTCTTCTCGATGATCCCGAGGAATCTCCTCGTCCACTATCTGCCCTACCTTATATATCAGCTCTGGACTCAGACAAGAACGTAGAATGTACTGTTTGGCCGAAGAACCTGCTTTTGAAACAGCGATTGATAGTCAATAAAACAATTGGTCTTAGTTTAATATATATCGTATCAACTTGAGACTTTGAGGAGTCGTAAAATTCACCTTTTGGTTTGACATCAGCAGGCGTTTGTTGATCATCGCCTTGATCACCGTTTCGTTGACGTTGACTATTTTTGATTGCTTTACGTTTCATTTCAGCATCTACAGCCATTCGTACTGGATCGAGCCCACGTGCTCGAACTTCAATTAACTCCATCCCGAACGTCAAACCAAGTTCTCTGTTACATTGAGCTAGATGTTTGGTAAACTGTCGACCAGCAGGGATGCCTTTACGACATCAACAAAACAACCGGTCGTTTGTTAGAGTAGCCATGCAGATGTTGAGATGGTGGGGAGGAAAAGGGGAAGGCTTTCGGACCTGCGTTTTTGAGGGTGTCACGACTAAATGCTTTCCCTTTGTGTTCGTTGAGTATGGCATGCCTGGCTGCTTCTCGTCCATTTGTTTTATCGTCCTACGAAGACAAATATAAATGGATCAGCTTTGACAATGAGGTTTGCCCAGATTCAAAAGATCCCGCTCACTTCTTCGGCCATGGGTGTAGGTCGACTGTGGCGAAAGTGAAGTAGATGGTGCAAGAGACGAGGAAAGGAATGTTTATTCGCAAGCAAATGGTCGAAAAGAAAAAGACGCGCCTAAAAAGCTTTACACATACATAGCATACATTCATACATAACGCAAGCTTAACTAAGCCCCTCTTTCATGTCGTGGGCGCGGCACAAAAAGGACAAAAAGGTCGCGCCTGGGCGCAGGCGCGTCCAAGAGCACTCCAAAAGCTCAGAATAGGTAGGGGCGCGCCCCATAGTTATTTCACAGGCTGTGACGGGTTAAAGTAACCCATCTCAATCACAAATACCTGGAAAGGAGTTTTGCAGTGTACATACTGCATTTTAGAAACCATTGATCAATCTTAGTCCAATGATATCCATTGGGTTTTCCTTGTAAGTTGTAACTTGGGAGTGCCTTGTCCCCAAAATGTAAGTGAAGGGCGCACCCAACCTGCCACAGTGGTGCCTATGCCCCTCAGACTGACCCTGTTTCACGCCCAGGCCCACCCCCCTTGAGCAAGAGTGTGACCACAACACAACCCCTCTTCTGACACAGCCATGTCTGCTCTCAAAGAGGGGCTTAAGACAAACTTAACCAAGTCCCTCTTGAGCTGTACCAGCCCGCTCAAGCAAGGGACTTGCAAGTAAAGTGATTCTTTTGGCATGAGGTCAGAAAGTACTGTGGTCAAATACCTCTGATACTCCCTCACCACAATCTCAGCAATCATGTCAGCCATAGCTCATATTTCCGTAGCTCAACACAAACCTGTTCTTGCAAACCTGTCCTCATTTTGGCATTCTTGCCTAAGCCAGCTCAAATCAATCACACAGTGTCAGTCATCCAGGCGCAAATGTTCTCAGTGCTGAAGGAACACATGGAATAATTAAAAGGGACCCCTTTGCAAGCAAAAATACCTCCACTGGCTACCAAACTACCTGCAATCAACCAGATTGCTGTGTACAAACCAAATATACACTTTCTATGTACGGTGACTGCTCTGGACTTGTCAGCCAAGGGTGTTGCTTGCATCCTTGAAGCAATCAAGGGTCAGATTGTTGTAATCCTAGATAGGCATAAATATGCTAGTGGAGAGTTTTCAAGTCAAGTGATTTTCCCCATAGATGCCATTGAATGATTGGAATGCCCCCTGTTGGTATTTTGTGGCACCCACACAATGTGGAGCTTTGCCAAGAATCTATGGGCCCTCCATTGGGGGCAATTCAATAAATGTGGAGACATAGACACCTGGAGGTCAAAAAATAACTCCACAAGCATAAAGATCAATCATCACCTAGCTTAAAAGATACATCTTGTAAGTACATTCAGCCCTGATCTTGGAGTTTTACCAAAATTTCTGAGACAGGCTGACAGTGGGTATTACAAGAAGCTGGTGGCATCACAAGACTTCAAATCCATCATGTCTTGAATTCAAATTTTCCACAAAGCTAATTTGCTATATACTATCAAGTCAATATTAATTTCAAAGGTGGCAAGATAAAATAAGGAACTCACACACCTCCATTTGCAGGCAAGTGCATAAGACAATGAAGGATTCCAACCACAATATATATTGACTTGAACAAAGTGAAGTGTTGTAATAGATTGTTAGAAAATTTTGGGATCAATACTTTGACCAATCTATAATCGAGGAATCAAGCCAGAGCATGCATCATACACATTACAATGTTTCATTGTGCATGTCAGACTTCACCACTGTTGTGGAGGTGCACAAACTGGCCCATGCTGGTGATATTAGCTAGCTGATGAAGACATGGAAGAGATGTGTCAGAATGACACAAGGTATACTTGGCCGGTTGCATTATGCAAGGAAGATACCTGGTCTGGCTCTTTTATTGGAAGAAGGACTAACTCCAAGCCTTGCGCATGCAATCAAGAATTTGCTGCTAATACTTTTGAACAAGTGTGAAGGTCATTGGTTGTACATTGACAAATTCTTGAAGGTTCATGTATGTTGGCTGAAGAGAAAGTCTACCAATACAGTCAGTCTTAATATTCATTCTTTCAGTCAATACTTACATGGAAATATATTTCCTTTTGAGCTAACAAAGTTCCTATGATTCCGTAGGGTCATAGGACAAGCATTGAACACCTGATTCATTGCTTATCAAACATTGTACCCAAATTAGTAAGCTGACAATAATTGTTCACTTCAAAGATTTTATCAGGAAACATGTTACTCTGAATGTTACATTCTTTCCCAGGTATATAGAATGATGTATCTCTTCAAAGCTCTAGCTGGTCAAAAGATAATATACCAGCTTAATCTCAACCCCATAACCATAGCATCATTGGAAGCTTTCCTAAGTTATGCCAAAGCTCACTTGGTCAAAAATCCCTCGACACGTTCTCTGGCAACTTTGGCACACACTTGGGGTGCTTGACAGCGTAACATGGTCAAGTTGATTATTTCGGACAGATGCTGGCAAATCCTCTTGTTTCCACTGGGGGGCTTCAAATGTGTTGTTGTCTTGGAATGATGTGAATGAGAATTTCCAAATCAAGGAGTTATGATAGATATAAACATGTCAGTCTGAAGTCCAAAACTGTCTCACAGATGGTTTTGGATGCACATTTATGACAGAATGCATTTTACCACATACCTTGCAAGCCTATAATTGGGTGACCAGCTTCAGGATGTCGCAGGTGTGCATTTGACTTGAGAAACTTACCCTTGCTCTGAGCCTGTCACTAGCAGCATAAAGTAATTTTTGCGCAGAAAAAATGAATGCATTTAAGGCATTACTATCAGACAATTGAGAATGCTTATTTCATGCTGAATAATGCTGATTTGTTGCATTGTCAATCATTGTTTGCTCTTATAAATTTAATCACTTTTCCTGTCAGGGTGGCACTTCCAACACAGTTGAGCCATCCAGTAATTTGACTAATAGCCCTGACAAACAATCCTACTGGGTACGTAAGATTGTATTATATTTAGTTTCTACAAATAGCAGAGGAAACAAATATTAATAATGAACTATTTACTAGAATCTAACGGGTGAATGCTAGATTAAAAATTAGACCACAGCCCACTATCTGGTGATAGAGCTGAACTGGTCAGGTTCTGAGCCGGGTAATTCCCTAAAAGATGGTAAGATCTAAGGGTAGACTGAGTAAAAAACCACAGGGATCTCAACAACTTTGGGTTGCAAGATTATTGGTATGTGACCAAGATAGTTTTTACTGTTTCAAGAACAGGGACAGTAAAGGAGGAAAAGTTGTTTTAAAAAGTTTACTTACTTGTGGAGGTAAGATTGGTTTTGACGCTTCTGGAAGAATTGAGTAATACTTTTATGGTGAGTGGAACTATTGTACTTTGATAGTAGATAAATGTACTGCTATGGAAAGTTGTATACTAAATCCAGCTGGGGTAAGAAGGCACCTTCCGCTTCTTGAATCTGAGGTCATCACTTATCTATATTTCCCTCTGGAAGGCCAGATTATGGGCAAGGGAAGACTTACTGCGCTACCTGGGTTTGTTGAGGCCAAGTTGTGGGTTTTAGCTCTGTTTTGGGACAAAGATGTTCTCTGTAGGGGGACAGGTGAGTCTTCTTGATAAATCCACAAAGTCCTTCCGCTTTGGGATTCTGTTATGTGGAAACTTGTTGTTGAGTTTTATAAGTACAAATTTCATCTTAGTTCTTCAATTATCTTCTAATTATCCTGGTTGTTGTTTCACAAGGTAACTCTTGTGATGAGGGAAATTCTCTTCAATTTTCATCTTTGAAACTAGACGCAAGGTGTATTTATTATTGGAGAGTTAATATGATGTTATGGCAATACTAATAAAGATTCATATTAATAAGTTTGTCTTTAAAATTAGACACAAGGTGTGCTTATTGTTGAGCAATGATGCTAAGTGATTTATGACATTAATTTTGTCTTTGAAACTAGACACATGGTGTGATATTTTCTAAAGATATATTTTATATATATTTTGTTAAGGTCTTATAACTGCTTGTATGCTGAATCTCTTTTGGCTTTGGCTTGTCAAAGCTTGAGGGCTGACATTTCCCATGCAAAACTTACTTTATGTTGCTAGTGTATGAAAAAAAATTGAACAGACACAACACCTTGTGACAAAACAAATGGGACCTTTCAAAGGTGCAAAGAAAACTTTAGCCTCAGTGTTGACAAAACTCTGGCTACAAAGAAATACTACACCACAGGGAGATAAGACCAGTTTTCATGCAGGCTGGAAGGCGGCCTGCAGACCTTCTGTTCCCATATAGTCACCAACACCGCCAACATATTTACCTCGGATTACAAAATCCAAGGTATCCTCGGATGCAAAACCTCGGACAGAAGCTTCCCAAGGTTTTGATCCGAGGTAATCCTCAGGGCAAAAACCTCAGACAAGGTCTGTCCGAGGATTTTCCTCCAATGATGCCTCGGGTTGAGAAATACGAGGCATCTATGCTGGCAGTGCAACCAGCTGTGGAAGGTCAGTGGGATTTATCTGCTGTTGGCCTGTAGCAACACGCAAACCCCCCCGCCGGGGACTGCGACTGCGCTGCGACAGCGTTGCGGTTGAGCCGCTGTCGCAGTGAACCGGACAGCCCCTGAGGTACACCCGGCCCGCCGCGCGGGGTTGCCTGCGGTTTTCCCGGGCTGCTGTCGCAGTGAAAGCACCACAGGGGGTACCCTGCAACGCAGCGAATATGTTTTCTATAGTTATATTTTATTATAATTTCTTTAATCGAATTCGTATTATACTTTTTATTTTTTTCTTCAAAATATAATTTCTCTTTTACAAATCTGCACCTTACACGGCATTTCATTGCTGCACACAGCGGCCTGCGGCGCGCTGCGTTTCTTTTACAGCGCGACGGCCTGCGATGTGCAGCGATTTTTTTTGGAAATTGCTTTCTCAGGGAGCTTTTGGGTGACTGCGACTGCGCTGTGATGGCGTCAAGACAACACTGCGGTAGATCGCATTGTTGTCGCAGTCAGGCGGGTGCTGCGGGCCGCAACGGTGCGTTTGCGTGTTGCCTGTAGGCTATCATTTAATTTTTAGATACCGTTGATCAAGGGTCAAGTGGTCTTTAATTTCTATTCTTTTCCAGTTGGGTAGTTGCTGATTTAGCAGCAGCAAGAGTCTCAGCATTTGTATATGGGCAGAAGGACAGTAAAATGGATTTTATTTCTGTATAATATCAAATCTTTTTACTTACAAGTAGATATAGGGGATAATGATAAAGGAGGGTTCAGAGTCAGAGTCAGGTTAAAAGACAAAGTCAGAGTAATGAGAACAAGGATCAGAACCAAGAGAATCAAAAGATGAAAATGAATTACATCAATCAAATGAAGAATATGAAGTCAATTCAAAAATTTATTCAATTAGATATCTCAAATCCAACTTTTTTAAACCAATCAAAACCAACACGTCTAGACTCATTACTATTTGATGCAATAGTTAGTCTTTCACTTGTCTCTTCATGGTTTACTTACAACTCTTCTTTTCTTTGAACTCTAACACCTGGATTTGGTTTTGAACATAATCCACCATTTGGTGATAAATGTGAAGGAATTGATACGGTCTTTCTTGAGAAAGCTTGTCAAGTTAATTTGATTTCTTTTACCATTGTCTCCTCTTGATATTCCATATGAAATCAAAAAGACCTGAATTTTATTCTTTATATATCTTGTACAGTCAGCTAAATCAGGAATTTATTTACTTCCTAAATCTTCCACTCAAGATTATATTCAAAGGAACTCAAAACAATGGGGTTTCAATGGTGCAGTAATAGCAATGTGGGCCATTTGATTTTCTTCTTCTATTTGTTAACTGATCAATTTCAATCTGAGTCTTCATGCTTGTTTACAGTATGATTTATCTAGAACTTTGAAATGCATAAATTTACAAGTCTTATGATTTGAAATCTTTTTGAATGATCTCCATAACAGCTTTTCCAAGTTCAATAGTATGGAATTTTGACCCCAAAGTTTGTTCTTCATTTTGATTTAAAATCAAATGTATTGCAAGTCTTTTAATAATAGTGGATGATCCAAGTTTTAATAAGTTATGAATTCTTTGTAAAAGAGTTGTTGAGAGTTTAGTCCATGATTGATGGATTTGAGGATTTGGATGATAGGTTGGTGTTTGAAAGAAGTTGAGATAAAGTGATCAGATTTGAAATGGTAGTTTGAAGCCATTGGAGATCACAAGTGATTAAAACTCGTGGAGGTTGAACTTGAAGTTGCACTTGAGTTGGTTTCAAAACCAGAAGAAGTTGTTCTGTTTGACTTGATGATGTGATTGAGTTGATAAGTTGACCAATATTAACCCAAGCTTCATCTGAACAACATAAACATCAAGGATTCAAGTAATTTAATTGATTTGATCACCAATTTATATGAAGAAGATTGTGAAGATGAAATGATCAATTTAACTATATCACAAACCTATTTAGGTAAAAGAGTTGTAATTTGTGTTATCATATCATCTTGATGATTGGTTTCACAAGTCCAGTTTCAGTCAAGATAATCAAATCAATGGAATCAATGGAAATGAAGTTAAAGCACTAGTTTAATTTGATGTTAAAAATGGTCAAAACCCTGAAAATTTGGAGGTAACTTGATGGTCATAACTGGAAGTGATGGGGTTGTCCGAGGTAAAGAGAAGTGATCAGTATTGAATTTCAAGATGAATCAATGTGAAACTTGAAACTGACCAGCACTGTGTCAATATTTGTGTAGCACATGTCTACATGCACACACAGAGAGTTTCGAAACAAATCTCCAAGTCTTTTGGTCAGACTTAGAATGAGATTGTTGTTGAGTGCCCTTTGTGAATAGTGGTTTATTCATAGGATTTGTGGGATCCTTTTTCATCAGCTGGGTTCAACTGACTTTCAACATCCCAGTTGATAAGGGGAAGATGCACCTGTTGTGGCACCTCTTTGATGGGTCTTTACAGGGTCTAAGGAAAGTCTTTCGTGTGTGCACATTGACATGCTACAAGGATATTTACATGGTGCAGGTGTGTTAGTTGCTTGGGTCAAAAATCTTTTCAGTATTGGCTGAGAAAACGTAAGGTAAGGAGGAGGGATGAAAGTGTTGAGCTTGAAGGAGGAAAGGAGATGGATGAAACCAAGAAGTGACAAGTTGCAAGTGTCCTGAAAGCACGTGCATGTCCAATATAAAGCTATTTTCCTTATAACCTATTGGGTTCTCAAGGTTAACATGGTCTGGTCTTTGCTCAATCATTTCAACTCAAAGAATAATCACCTGCCAACCTCCTGCAACTTGTTTTGAGGCAAGCAGCAGGCAGTTTGCAGCTTTCCTGCTTTGACCGCCTGCAACCCTTTTGCAGATAATTCTAGGGTGAATAGCAGATGGTCTGCTGCTCTTTTTTGCAGACTGTCTGCATGAAATTTATAGCCTGAAATCAGGAAACTATCAGGCATTCTGTGGCTTGTTCTAGCAGACTGTTTTGGGGCCTTTCACAGCCCACTTTCAGGCTATCAGCAGACAACTTTCTGACCCGACCTTCATCAGACTCCTCTGACCATTTTTTGGGCCTAGAATCTCCCTGTGGTGTAGTCATCAAAATAAAATTATTTTCAGATTAAATCCATAATATACTCTTTATCATTTCACAAACATAGTGTATGAGCACTGAATATAGTGGTAACAAATTGAGAATGACAAGTAGGAGTTTTCCTAGCTGGTCTTGGTTTCTCTTTGTCTCCTTATGCAAGTAAAGCAACTGATCTCCTGGCTGAAGCTGATAAACCTTTCACAGTTTGTCCTTCTTCAATTGTCTTTGAGAAGGATTGCACATCTATTGAATCTTTAGCATTTATTCCACCAAGGAGTAGATGTGAAAGATGAAGAACAATCATGTTCCAGGTGCCAGAGATGTCAAATCAATTTGTGCCATGACTCAAATGAATCAAAAAGTCAAATAATCTGAATGATGAAATTTGGAGAATCAGTTCGCATTGTAGTTGATAGTTATCAGCCAATGTCAACAATTCTTCTATTGGCCATGTTTGTGCTTCAAGGCTACAAGATTTTGAATGATATGCAGGATTGATGATATGATATGTTTGTGGTTTCTGTTTGCTCTCTTAGAAATGAAATGTGTTTGAAAGTCAGAGATAGAGTCTTACTTGTACATTGAGGAGAGAAGATACACACTGTTTACCATTTTGTAGTGTGTAACAAAATACAGTAGCTGAAGGATCAAGAAACAATGGTTGATACAGTTGAATAGATATGTCACTTAAATCAGTGTCTTGTGACCAATTCAAGACCAACATGTGATCTGTGAAATTTTGTCCAAAATTCAATTCAGATGAAGGTCATTTTGTTTTTGGTGCATTAGAGCTCTCAATACAAAGTTTGGAAGCCTGTTCCCATCATCAAGAAAATCCTGTCAGTGATTGTTTGCTAGGTCTTCTCTCTCAATAAAGATATCTGGGCAAACATCAATATCAGCTGATCCAATTGAGTCAATTGGTTGGTTAGCCGCATATTTTGAATATGGCAAGCAATCATTCTTCAACATCTAAGCAGGCACTTTATGGTTGTCCTCATGCAATTGTTCAAAGAATTGACATGTTGCAAATCACAGTTTTACCACTGTATCAAGCGCACATGGCTTTATGAAGGAAGACATAATTGGTCTTCCAATTTTTGTTGAAGGGATGAGATCAAAATGAAGGCTGAGACTTGCTCTGGTTGGTGTTGCAATGTGGTTCCATATCACAGAGACAATTGTACCAAATGATAGTGATGGGAAGGTGGTGTGGTACGTAAATATGGTGAGGCTGGTGATGTTTTTCACTTCACTTGTCCAATCAGAATCATTCCTGGAAGCCTGTGTTGCTTCATTACCACCATCATGCCCAACAATGTTGAATCTGCTTTTTCTTATGTTATCTGATCTCTTGTGTGGATGGGAATTTCAAACTGATGTTGCTCTTTTGTCTTCATGAACTTGATGTTGATGCAAATGGTGAGTTGATGAAGCTGCTTGGTCTTGCTGGATGAAATGATGGTTGATATTGATTTGATAGTTGAGGCATGATAATCAAGTTTTGATGATGATGATATTCACTAATATCTCAATTATTGATTCATTGATGAAGCATCGATTGCTGCTGATCTGAGAAGTTCGATTTGAAGTTGAAGAGCGCTTCTAGGTTTTGTATTTGTGTGAGTGTGCGTGAATGAGTAATTCTGGGGTGGAACACGTGGACGTCAAAATGAATCGCTCGGACGTGTAAACCTGGAAATTTTTGCACTTTTCAGTAGGGTTTGGGAGTTTAGTGAGTTTTATTTGGGAACACGGTTTCCCTTCAAGTTGAATGATGAAATGATGAATGATGATGAATGATTTATATTTAGGATATGACATGATGATTATGATGAGGATTCTTGATTGTGTAATATCGATCTCAATCACAACATGTTTCCAATATTTCTATAACAACAATCTCCTTAGAACATGTTTTGATCTATTTTACTCCGCAGCTATATGTGACACAGCAAGTAGTTGAATTCATAAGGACTACAACAACTGTCTCTGAGAGAATACAGCCGATGTGACAAATAATGGTTTTTTATTTATTTTATTTTTTTTCTCCCAGATTTTACTGGGTTTCTGACTTTCAATTTCTTTGAGCTTTTGGACTGAGCCGTGGGTTATGATCTTGATTCCCTGTTGCACATCAATCTTGCGACCATGCTCTCTAATGACTTATTCCTCGTCCGAGCAGGTTTTCTAATCGGCAATCCCTCGTTCGAGACTCACGAACGAGACACCCACTGCACTGCGATGGAGTCGCCGGCCGGAACGAGTGATGGGAGAAAATGCGATGACGAAATCTTTTCTTGGATTCCTTTGAAGACGTGGTTATCAACCAATATCCCATTTCTTTCCTCTTCACGTCGATTTCCTTCATTCCACTTTTCGGTAGCCAATACAGCTTGGTTCATTCTTTCTCACTTGTTCCTGAAGCATACCAGAACCCTCACCCATTCCCCGTTCCTCTTTCTTTAGTGCCATTCATCAACCTAGTACTTTCACTGTCACTGTCAAATCGTTCTTGGGAACATCATATCGACTTCAAGCTCATATCAGTCAGTACTTAATTGTTTTTCGGTGTTGATCGCACGCTGACCTGTGATTAGCATTTGCCAGAAATGCCATATGAACCCATTCGAAATTTCATCCATGAGGACGAGAATCCCGATGAAGGTGAGTTTGGTCACTCAGAACATATCGATTGCTTTGTTTCAAGCAGCTGATCTCCTTCTCTTGCAGTGTTTGATCCGCCGTATTTGATTGCAGACGGAGACGACGCCCCAGCGCGTCATCCGACACTCGAGCGCCTCTGGCGTCAAGGAACGGAAAGTCGTCGGCTGATGGAGGAAAGCCAAAGCTTCACTATCGGTGTCACTTTCAAGATTCACACCAACGATATCGTTGAGGTAACCCCTGGAATGGCTAAATCCTCTTCTACTTCGAAAGTGACCGCCGCGAAAAAACGAGCTGCACCACCTCCTGTTTTCGCTGTCATCGACTCCTCAGACTTCAAAGTCTTCCTGTACGGGAAGTCTTTGAATGAGCTGAAGGAGTTTGTTGGCGACGTGTGCGACCGTTATTTCACCAGGATTAAGAAGGTGGTTCTCAACAGCGTGTTGGCCCCTTTGCTCAACTGGAATGCCAGCGTTGGATCGAAGAAAACGAAGTTAATCGATTTCAAATCATATCAAGAGTTTGTTGTCAATTTGGGCAAAAGTCGTAGCTCGAAAGGAAATATCAACATCATTTTAGAGAAGGCGCAAGTCAAGCAGAAGAAGAACGCTCAGGTGAGTGTTCTTCTATAACGAATTTTCTCTTTGGGTTACGTAACTGACTCGAGCTATGAACACCTCTAGGCTACTGGCGCGATGGCTTATATCCAAGGAACCGCTGGGGCCAACCCGATGGCAGCGGAACTAGCGGCATCAAAGGAGGCCACCGCGGCGGCTCAAGAAGAGACCTCCGTACGTACCTTTGAGCTGTGACATGGTCTCATACCTGGGATTAACTTTTTAAATGTGATAATGATCTCTTCTAGGCGGTGAAAGCAGCCAAAGACTTGGAACTCGAGGCAGCTACGATTTACCAGGAACATCTCGAAAAAGCCCTGGGCGGTGATGGCGCGATCTTAACGGCCCCATGGGACCCGAATTTCTTTTACCGTTTCTCGCATCGATGTGCGTTCATTTGGGCTACCGCGGTGGTAAGTGTTTACCTTAGGTTTTATCTTGCATTGGTCACCCAATTCTCATTTAATATTACCTTCCAGCGCGATGGGCTCACCTCCCGCGGGATACCTCCGAACACCGCCGAGTACAAGAGGGAGATGTTCAAAAACACGGTCCTTCATAACAGCATGAACATTGACAACCGTGTCAAGAAGCGCTACCCCGTCCCATCGCCAACTCCCAACGTCACTACCTCGAGAGTCAGCAATCGACGCAGTTTCTTTGCCAATGCCCCGGCCGAAGAAAAAAAGGTCAAGGAAGAACCCATTAGTCCTTCAACCTCAAAACGCACCTTGGAAGCCTCAACCTCTCGCGACGCGGTGGCTGCGCCCAAGAAAATTAAGTCTGAAGGAAGTGAGTCAGAATGATGTTCACCTCAAATACCTTTTAGATATCCCTTATCTAATGTGATGCAATTTGATTACAGCCTCAGGCATTACACCTAGCAAATCGATTTCACTCCTCACCTCGGACGATGTCCCCAAATCCGAGCATGAGGGTTTGTCCTCGGATGTGGAATTTGTGGTGACCCATGCCACCCTATTGGACGATTTCCTTTTGGAATGCGATGTCCCCCGCACTGACCTGGCCACTCGCGCGATTTTGCGCAACGCGGGAGTTTCTTCTTGGACCGATCTGGTGCCAAGTGTTCAAATGACGGCTAATGTTTTGACTGGTCATGGGATGTCATTCTCCTTGGCCAGTCGTCTCATAGATGCTGCAGAAGAGGCGGATTTCCTCTATTCGTATTCACCTCCTGCAAATTGATTAAATTGACAAGTCACTCCCGCGCACAGTCGAAACCAAAAAAAAAAAAATTCTTATTCCTTGCTTTGTTTATCTCTATACACGCTCAATACACGTTGTCCCTTACAAAGTGATCACTCTGATCTTGATACAAGTTGTTTTTTCAATCAAAATTATTCTTTCCCTCTGCGCCCTTGATGGACGCGCAATTTGTAAACGGCGTTGATCGCGCTTTTTGAAATCTCAATTTGAATCGTTATTGTTCAAACTTTTCAGATGGACCCAAGTGCGAAGTAGATAGGACGTGCCCACCACTTGAGTTGCCGATAATGATATCGATTATTTGGATCGATATCATTATGGCGTGCCACTTAATGATATCAACCAGAGTCGAAGATTAACGTCGTTTACTTTAAGACAAAGTTAACGACATTAACGGACCCATGGCTTCGTCAATGATCCTCAAGAACACTTGAGGAACATTGACGAAGGAGTCATCTCCCACGTCTTTATGTTTTTGAGGACACCAAACGCACAGGACTTTGGGGCTCGTGTAATTCAAATCGATGCTTTGAAACTATTTTTTTTTCGGCATTCAAAAAGACAGGCAGTTACAAAATAGGAAAGAAAGGTAACTACAACGGTACAACTTTGCTTAGAAATCCCGCTGATCAAAGGTACAACTGCGCTTAGAAATCCCGCTGGTCTACATGTATCCACTCCCCTTGAACAACTTGGCGCACAACTCGTCAGTAAAAATTTCCATCATAGTCAACCATACAACCGCCCTCTCGCCATCAGCATCGATCGCCCCCTGCAATCCCTGGGTCCTTCTGAGGCTCGCTTTGACAGGGGAAAACCCTTTCTTGATTGGGTTGAGGTCAGGGCTATACGCCGGTAAATAAATCAACCTGACCCCGCGAGCCTGGCACAAATCAGCAACTGATCCGCCGTGATGAATAGGCGCGTTGTCTAAGACTAGCACCGAGTTGCGAGCCGGCCATGGGTTCATGGCCGGTAACTAAAAATTAATCAATCACATCAGACATCCAATTGACATGGCTGATGTGATGGTTTAGTTGCGAAATGACTTACCAAGTCATCTTCCAAAAAGGCTTCGAAGTCGAGGCGAGAATAGCCACCTCGCTTGATGGTGATTGCCAATAACCCATCAAGCGAGATGGCTGGTAAGGCTGACCAACGGCCTGCTTGGGTTGGCCTGGCGAGGCGGGGCGTACGTTGTCCAATGGGAGCCCGCGCGTACTCGCGATACAGACGCCGCTTCGCAATGGCCGTCTCGTCTAGCAAAACAAGATCACACATTAGAATCTACCGAACAAAAACCAGAACCAAACCCCAGGACTTACCGGCAAACACAAGGCATCTTTGGTCAATTTCGAGGACTCTGGCCATGTAAGCCCCTCGCGCGGCCAAACTTTGGTTTGGATGAACCGTGCGGGCTTTCTTTCGAGTCCAACACAGACGGTCTCGTAGCTCAGTCGACAGAGTCTTGATGGAAACCTCTTTATTGAACCTTTCTAAAATCTTGCTTTGAAGTTCATCGAGGTATAAGGTCGGGTCGAGACGAAGGCTGTCCAGCACGAAAAGTCGCTCGGGTCCTCCCAAGATCAAAGGTGCACCACGATTCATGTGATCCAACGGATTCGTTACGACTGACCGAGTTTCCTGGTACAGTTTGACCCAGCGACGTACAGAGGTGAGAGCTAGGTCCATCCCGAGGGTCCTAGAGATGTCCTGAAAGCGAACCCCAGTGAGGGCCAAGCGAACCACAGCCAGTTTGATTTCCGGACTGTGATGAGCAATCCGATACTGAAAAAAGCCAACATGAGCCATGAGCAAAGCGAGAATTGGGGGATGAAACGAGAGAAAGAAGATTACCGGTGGCATATTGGTGAAAAGGTGATTGGAGGGAGGATTGCCGAGCTGGAAAGGGGACAACCGGATAGGGAATTCGCAGGAGAGGTCTGGCCAATCGCATCCAACTGACACCTCTACAATCATCGGAACTTACCGGGAGATCCCAGAAGATCTTCCATCGGCTGCGTAATATGTATCTTCTTACATATGTGTATTACGTGGGAATCTGTCAACTCTTTTGAGAGTTCCCTTCCCACTTTCTCACTGGAAAAAAAAAAAAAAAACGTTTTATCCACATTTCGAAAACCCAGTAAAATCTGGAAGTTGGAAAAAATAAAAATAAAAAACCATTATTTGTCACATCGGCTGTATACGACTGTTTTCAAGGAAAAGCTGCCCAAATACATAAGTTCAGACCAGGTTTAAGAACATCTTCAGAGGCATAGCGATCGAACTTTGAAATCACGCATGGTTTCTTATTAACTGCCATTTTTGATCACGCATGCAATCACGTCGTTGCGCTGTGTTAGGTTGATGGCACGACCAAGAGCAAACAAACCGTGAGAGTTTCGCGAAGACTATTGGACAGTCTTGCCAGGTCATGACTCATATGGTTGATTCCAACGATTCGAGGTGATGTTACGGGAAGAAGTCCTTGAAGACAATCGCCCCGACTGAAAAGCCTTTGTGACGACGGGATTCATTCTAGCTCGTGAGTTGAGAGTCTACATAATGAAGTCTCTAAGTTCGACAGCTGTTTATCATGAGCACGCGTAATGTACATCTCGAACGCAAGAAGAGCGGTCGTCATCATGAGTTACATTACGAAGGCAAGAAGGACGGTCAGTTGTTGTCGCGATACAAGGAAGGTTGCGAGGCTAATGACTTTATTGGTCCATGTCAACCAACCCCCGATGCCAGCTCTCATGAGTATAAAAACGTGCTGACATCCCGACCAATCATTAAGAATGCAGTCAACACTGTCATCAAAGTGAGTTGGAAGCCTGGCCAGATATGAGTAGCATGATTGCCCGTCCTTGAGAGGCCCACTTTTGTCTATAAAAGGGCTCTCTCTGAATCTCATCCATCTCCTCATCAATCATCCTCTGGTATTACTTATACTTACCTGAGACCGGATCTCATTTACCTATCAAATACTAAATTTTTGTAGGCACTCCCTTATCTTTCCACTGACTCTTAAAGTAAATCATTTACCAGACCTGACATTTTTCTCTGAAACCCTTTTATTTCCCCTAGTATAAGATCTTCACTTAAACTATCATCTTTGCAAAGCAATCTTAACAATCCAAAACATAATAAGATGGTAAGTTTGTGAAACTGCACACAATGATTTCTTAGCAAGGCATAAACATTAACACATAACTCTCATGTCTACTTCATCTAGATGGCTGGAAAGGATTTCAAACTCCTCATGGTCTTTTTGGTTCTCATTGCACTGACTGCAACCAATGAAGTTTTAGGTGTCAAAGTTGGTACCCAGCTTATCCCCAAATGCGGTAAGAGTTCCGCGAAGTGTAAACAAGGGAGACCTTATTGTATTGGCAAGAACGCAGTTTGTTCGGCCAGAGGAACACCCAAATGTTCACGTGGAAAACCTACATGTAATTGAATACAGCTAAAATCCTTTCCATTAGGGTTTGGACAGACCCTGCTTGTTGTTGACCCAAGCTGCAATTGAAATCTAATTCAGTTCAAACACAACTGGAGATGAGCCACTGTTCAAGAAATATCAAAGCCAGCATATTTTTTTAAAAAAAATTGGAAGAAAAGGAAGCTGTGTGGTGTGACACTAAGCCCAGCATCTTCCTTGAGCTTGCTGGCCTACTAGCTCAGTAAAACTTGTCCAGTCAAACAAACAGGCTTTTCAAACGCCTCTCTGCTTGTGTGGCTGGATTCCTGTCACAGGTATCAAGTCTTTAGTGATCCAACACATCACTAGATTTGTATGTTGGCCCTGGGCAGCTCAGCAAAAGGTATTGGTGACACCTTTGATATGATTTGGCGGAATCCAACCAAATTCCTACAAATTCTATGGCACCAGAACCAATGGCTACAACTTGGTTGGCCTTTTGCCCAAACCCTATTAGGGTTTTTTTGACCAACTGGTTTTGTGCCTTCAAGAAGTGAGTCAAAATCTCTTTCCTTGAGTCACTGGGGTGTATCTGAAGTCCAATGAGATTCACACAAGTCAGCATGAGGTTGTGTTTGGAAATCAGCTTAGAAGAAGTGATGTGTCTGGGTCTTTGGTAATCAACTCAACAAATGATGAAGTAGTTCCAAGTAGTTACTTTCTTGTATTGATCTTTCTATTAACCTTGCTATGAAATGAACCTGAGCACAATAGCATACTTATCTTTGCGATGTTCCTGGCAAGTGATTCTTCACCTTTTACACATAGTGGTATGTGTTACATTGCAATAGGTGCCTTCCTCTAGAAAAGAATTGGATCATTGAAAAGAAAAAAATTGAACTATGTAATTACATGCATCTGATACAAAGCTGTGGTACAATCACTCCAAATTAGCATTTGGAGGGGTGTTATTTTGAAGAAACAAAAAAAGCACTACATCACAGATAGGTTTTGTGTCAGAAAAACACCCAAAGACCACTGGGGTCTGTGACATGTTGGCTCCCCATATTCAGGCCATGGCTGGCCTGCACCCTGTCAATATTGGTGGGCAGACCACCCATGCATACATTACCTTTGTGCTGTAACAATAAACCTGCAGGCAGTTTCAATAGTCCAAGAAACTCAAGACTCCTTGAATAGGAAGTCAACCCTTACAATGGCAAGTAAACAGGTCTGACACTTGTATCTCTGAATATCAGAGATGAAAAGAAAAACAACCAGACTTATGAAAATGAAAGACAGACACAAGCAAGCACACCATTTTATTCCTCAGTGAACTGGTGAGATTTGATTTCACAGGATATTGTATCTAACCTCCTTAATTATAATAGCCAGTAAATGGGTGTAAGACTTGTGGCTCTGAACACCAGAGATGAAAAAATCACACCTATTGAGGTCAAAGAGAGACACAAGCAAGCCTAGACAAAGTGAAACAGTAGTATAAAGAAAAACAAATTGATGATCTAGTATCTGGATTTGAGTAAAGATGAAGTTGAGCCACTTACACACCACTTTATTCCTCAGTGAACTGATGAGAAAAAAGTGGCATATGTGGAGGGTAATCTCTATTTTAGTGTGTTACATTTATGAGATTGACAAGTCAGATTTGAGATTTGTATTGTTTAGGTTTGAGTTGTTGCTTAAGTTTGAACTTACTAGAGACTATACGGTGTAGTGAACAATTTATATGATCAATCTAAAATCAAAGTAAAAAAAATTCCTAGCCTCTTGCTCGAGGCACAAAATGTAAGAACTGTCCATGGGATAGTATCATTGTAATGAAGAAATACAAAAGGAGAATGAGAAGGGGATATTGAGACAAATGCGGATAGATTAAAAAGCGTAAAACTGAGGCTCATTACATATGAATGAAACTAGAACTAGCCAACAACAGACTCCCCTCTAGAGTCTGTCGAATCTATCCATCCCTTCTCCCCTCTATTCTCCAGATAACTTCCTTCACTAACTCTATCCCGATCTTTTGAACTAACAATTTCCATTTTTCAATTTAAAAAATTTCTTAACTAATTAACAACTAATAATCAATTTGTGACCTCCCACCCACCCAACAGGTCAATGGAGAGAAGTAAGCACACTCATAAAAAGAGTACAAAAGAAATTACAAGGGTGGGTTAAAAATTAGGACAACAGTGGATGCAAAGAAGATTTTCACCATTTTAAACCCCCTTCAGACAGATAACCAGCAGTTAACCCAGGGCTCAGAAAGGAGAGTTCAACAATGGAACTCTCCTTTCCGGGTCCTACCTTCCGCTATTGACCTTCCCTCACCTAGTATAAACTAGGCAAGGGAGAGATGAACCTTTTAAATTGCAATGAAATTAATGTTATGAGTTAAATGGATTATCACATACTTAATCCAGAAAAAGTCAACAAAATCAAAATTTAATAATTCCCTTATTACATACTTAATCCAAAAAAATTGACAAAATTTCAAAAAAAAACTATACTATTCATTTTGTTATTTCAACTCAAAGTTAAAAGCAAATTCATTTAAAATTCATTTCCTTTTATATTAAACACTAATGTACAAATTTATTTTGAAGAAGAAAGGTTAAAAAAGGGACAAGAGAGGCATAAGGAATTCAACAAAAAGGGACTAAGGGAAAGCTGTGAAGTTGAGGGGTGAAAGTTACTTAGGAGAAGATGGGATCAAAGGAAGATTCAAAACATCAACAACAAGCTTTAGAGCATCTCCAATGGTCCTGAATCGCAAAAAGGCGTACAGGCTTGTCTGAAAACATACATTAAGTTGTATTTTTCCTTTAAAATGATTTCCCTCCACCACGCACATGATGCAGGGACTCCCAAGGTTGTGCTCCTGCCAAAACCGCACAATATCCCTTTTGAAGATTGAATGATATCTCATTGACTATCCATTTGATATGAAATTTCTTTTGGTTATTATATTTATCTTTGGACGCACATGGTATGATTATGTCATAAACGTTGCCAATACTGTTTCCTGCATATCTTGTGATGTCCCTTTAACTATGAAGTTGTCGACATGTGATACCCTGTTTTCCTCAAAAACAAGATCACACACCTGGCCACATGTGAGAAACAAAATGACCGTTGGATGGTTGTTTTTTGACCCAACCCTGTAACTGTAACATACAGCTTACGTATGGTTACATTTACAAGGTGCCATTGGAGATGCTCTTAGGCCCTGTTTGGTATGGCTTTCAGCTGTTATAAATACATTATCAATCAATAAAATAAACTTCTTTAAGCAAGCGCACGGCACGGACCAGGTGTGAGCCGTGTCCGGGCAAGCTTATCTTATAAACACCAGTATCCTTTCCAAAACCACTACTCAAACAGAATTCATATGTAAGAGCATCTCCAACATTGCTGAATCTGAAAACATGTACAGGTAAGTTTTTTCCTTGGCTGGACAGCTGTATTTTTTATTCAGTGACAGCACCCTGCAATGCACAACTGAAGTTATTTCTCAATTCCCCATAGGGGTAATTTGAGGTTGAACCCACATCAACAATAACCCAAAAGGTCCAAACATCAACAATTCCAATAGCACCACCCTTGCTCAAAACAACCAAATAGGTGATGACCTAAGATAATAAAACATGAGTAGTGGACACATGCCTAAATATTAGTCATTGTCCGGACAAAAATTGTTGAGAGAGTGCTTTCTAGTGCTTTTCAGAATTACGGTACTCAAAGCTGTGTATAGTTTTGTCAATGTGTGTATAGTTTTTTTTGCCCAAATATACTTTTTTTTGGAGAGGAAAAAAAGTATATTTGGGCAAAAAAACTACATAGCTTTGAGGACCCTATATGTATATCTGTGTTCGTTGATCAGATGCTGGTGGCTAAACTGTCAACCAAACTATACTTTGCCCAGGTCGTTGTTATGAACTGAACACGTGACACTTAAGGATCACATGTTGCAGATTGAGATAACAAGTTGTAGCCTGTGCCACATTGTAGTTCCTCTTTCCTTCATCTGACAATCAACATAAGGAACCGAGATACGTGATATAGAACCCAAGATTGATCCTTTCAATCCTGTCGCCAAAACCCCCGAGGTCTGCCCTTAACATATTGTCAGATCTTCTAGACGGGATTCAAGGATTCGAATTTAAATTCAGTTAGAAACAGAACAAGATCGATCAGAAAAATAACCGAATTCACAGAATTAGAACCCAGCAGAATCAGAAACCTTAGTTAGAAAACCTTATTATTACCCCGGATTAGATCATTGTGACCAAGGCCTGCAGATACAATAGACCCAGAACTCTTTCGAATACTAGAACAAGTTAACCCCGCTTAAATTACGATCTTCCAATTTAAAAGATTACCCAGTGATTGAAACCCAAGAAACTCTCCACCCAGAACCAAACCTTATCTCGCCACAACGTCTCCTACGTACAGAACCCCACTTGACGACGCAGACTCTGAGAACAAAACTACCGTCCCATTCTTCAACGCCGACTCCGCATCTTCTAGTCTTGAATTGAATCAAACCAATACTGAGATGAATAATACCCTCGAAGATATTCAGCATCAATTAGCGGAGCTCACTTCCTTGCTAGCAGAAGAACGCGCATTGCGTAGTGAGGCTGAAGCTAGATTCCAGCAGTCCGAAGCTCAACTGGCTGAAATCGAATCCCGACAGCAACCTGCGCATGGCAGCACTCCTGCACCTGCACCAACTGGCCCAACTGCCGACGCGCCTGTCCCTAAGGGTCCTAAGGTGGCAGCGCCCGACAAATTTAGTGGCGTTAGGCGAGCCAGCCAAGATTTTCGCCAGCCAAGTCCAACTCTACATGTTGGCACACCCTTATTTGTTTCCTACCGATCGGACCAAAGTGGTGTTCTCCCCCTCGTACCTCACTGGAGCGGCTAGCAGTTGGGCTCAGCCTCTCACCAAGGAGTTGTTCGACGAATCCACAGCTCACCTGGTCACCTTCGAGCGTTTCGTCACGAACTTTAAAGCC